TTGAGAGAATTTTTTATCTTAAGTAGGCTCCACGCCCAGCATGGAGCTTGAACTCACAACCCTGAGATCGAGTCATATGCTCTACTGTCTAAGCCAGGGAGGTGTGTCCTAAGCTTATGGGAACTTTTGAGATGCAGAGAATGTGACACGGAAATTCTCATATATTCACTTAGACTTTATTATTTACAACTTAAATTACACAGCAGCTTTACACAGCAGGAGATGGCAAAAAAGGAGAGCAAAAGAAGGGAGGAAGCTGGCTCCTGAGATTCTAGGCCACCTCCACCTCCTCCTCTTGTGCGTACATAGCAAAGTCTTCAGTGCTGCCTCCACTCCAGTTCCTGGATCAGGTCTTGGAACAGAGGTGTAAGTTGGGTTCTGGCTCTGACAGTCCCAGAGCCACCAGGGCTCCCACTAGCAGCTTCTTCACAGGTGTTGGGGCTGAGTGTGAAGGCATCAGCTGCAGGAACAAAGGTTAATGCCAGTTGATGGAATGTTCTGCCCCCTTCACACCATCCCTACCCAGCCTAAGGACTCACTTTGTCTAAGCGATGGCGACAAATGAGGCCGTTGGAATTCAGGTAGAAGGTGGAATAGGCATCATAGGTCCTGGTGTAAGGGAAAAACAGAGTCTGACTGAGGGTTCCAAAGTTTAATTCAAGCATCTGTTTAAACCAGTACTTCCTAAATTTTGCTACATATTAGATCATCTGGAGAACTCAAATCCTGATGACCAAGCTGCACCCCATCCCACTCAAATCAGAATGTCTGGCACCAGTATTTTTTGAAGATCCTTAGATGACATCATCATGCTGCAAAGTCTGAGAACCACTGGTTTGGGCTGAGCCTAACAATTTCCTGGGATTCTCTTCCATGCCAGAAATTTTATGAAATACTCACCTAAGGTTGTGAGGCTCAACTTATTAGACGGGAATCTTCATTTTTTCAGTAAATACTTGAATGATTACTATGTGCCACATAACGTATACAAATAAACTGAGTCTAGAGGTTTCCCTTTTTTTTTTTTTTTTTAAAGATTTTATTTATTCATGAGAGAGACACAGAGAGAGAGAGGCAGAGACACAGGCAGAGAGAGAAACAGGCTCCATGCAGGGAGCCCGATGTGGGACTCGATCCCAGGTCTCCAGGATCACACCCTGGGCTGAAAGCGGCACTACACTGCTGAGCCACCTGGGCTACCCCCCCTTTAAAAAAAAAAAAAAAAAAGTCTAGAGGTTTCCTAACACAAAGTCTTGATTTCTCCCATATTAAAGTATATGAAAACAAAATCCCTGTCCTCAAAAAGGCCGAAGTCAGGGTTGATCAAGGACTCTCTGGAAGACCAAACAGACCGGAGTCCTAAAGGTAATAAAATTAGGAAACTGGATCTTTTCTCACTTGTCTTACCGATAAAGCTCTTCCTTGTCCCGCTTGTAGAAACGCAAAAAGAGCAGGTGGATGGGCAGCCCCACAAGCCGCCAGCGGGCTTGCAGGGTCCAATTCTCTGGGTGGCGGGTCAGCTGCAGAACCTCCAACCGAAGCTGTGCAAAATAGTTCCAGGCCAGGAAGCGGCAGAGGGTCAGTGACAGAATGTACCACGTCCGGCCCCTAGAAAGAGATGGGAAAGATTGCTCATGATGGCATAATCTGAAAACCAAACTGGCCTCTGGGGAACGGGAAACAGTTGTGAGAAGTGGCAGGACCTTCTCTGGTCAATGAAAAAGACCAAGTAGAAAACACAGGGTGCTTTTCCTCCCCGAGGCCCTACCAGTGCCTGGATTCTCACTTGGTACGGATGTTCAGGATCTCATTGATGAATTCCACATCTGATGAGTAGAGAGTATAGTCGTGGGAGTGAAGGAAGAGATTGGGAAGCTAGGTGGAAGAAGAAGGCATCAGCCCCAGTAGGAAAGAAAAGATGATCCTACTTCTCAGTTTTCTCTTTTTGATGCTTCTTTACTCTCCTCTGAGTAAAAGGTCATCTCATCCCATGTTTAACTTCCCTTAAATCCAAACTGAAGAACATCTTTTCCTTAGGAAATGTTTATAACATATATATATTTACCTCGTAATTTCAAGAAAACCCAGTTGACTAACACTCTATTTCCACGTATTACCTACATCCCTTCTCAATGTGGATGAAGGCCACTTTCAAGCTGACTTACCTCTTGTCTGAGTCTCTCATACATGACAGCCAGGTGCTCCTCCATACTTGGATCTCCTGATGGAGTGGCAGGGGAAGGGCGAGCGGTCCCAGGGGCTTGGAAAGGTATCAAAGCCCCAGGACAGGGGCAGGGAGGTCCCTCAAATAGGCTCCTAAGCCCATCCAGGCAGCCACTATGCATTTCAGGTCCTGGTCCCTCCTCCCCCTTTCCTGGAGGGAGAACCACCCATGGTGAGCTGAAAGCCTGGATCTGAGGGAGAGGTAGTGGGGGAGCTCCAGGAAGCAGCCAAATGGGAGAGAGTGGGGGCGGTGGAGACCAGACAAGAGAAGATGGAGAAGTTGTTGTGGAGTGGGGCCAGAGGGGTGGGAATGGTAAAGCCCGTGGAGACAGCTGGTCCTAAGGGGAAGAATAAAAGGGAAAAAGATAAGAATCTAGCTGCCTGATGTCCCCCTCATCTAAACTCTCTTCATTGATGTGTTTCTAATCCCACCTGCTCCTCCTGACAAGAGATGAAATTAGAGGAAAATGGGATGAATTCATCTTCATCTCTACTGAAAACAGGAGGAAAAGAGTTTCCTATGACATAGGTTCAAGAAGTTCCCCAAATCGTTAGTAGGTACCTTTACATTGTTTTAAGATCCCAACACTGTTTGGGGGGCAGTTCCGATTCTCTTACAGAAAGAATCCTAATACGTATTTTGAAAAGTGAACGAGCAACAGGCTTTAGTGTACTGTGGATGAAATCACGCAGCCTGTAACAACTTCAGCATGGAGTGTGCGATAGAGAAAAAACATCCAACTGTACGTGGGAGGCATTTCTCTGAGCTCCGATTCCACTGTGACATCTTGGGCGCTCTTATGCCCTATGCTTATCTCTTCTAAAACGAAGACGATGCAGCCATTCTGAGTTATTACGAGGACTACACGACATGATAAACGTAGATAAAATTTCGCCGTCTATAAAGTGGTACGTACATGCAGGCTACGCTCGTTTCGGGCCCCTCTAACGACACACACGCCTAGGAGACCGTTAGAGGCAGGGACGTTGGAGTGCGATGCGCGGGAGGTCACCTACAGCCGGGCCTAGACGAGTCCTTGCGCCCTCAAGGGCCCCTGGGGGTCCCACTTCCGGGGAGGCTGGCCGGCACGCGCGCACCTGGGCGCCCGAGGGCAGCCAACGCGGGGGGCGTGGCCCCTGTGCCCGCCGGGCCTCGGGGGGAGCGAATCGTCGGCTACCCCCAGGCCAGCCTTCCGGGCGACGGCTATCCCAGTGGAAGACTCGCGGCCCACTCGTCTGTCTGGTCGGGCCCTGAGAATTCCGGGGCGGCTCCGCGGTCAGGCTGCGAACCTCTCCGCCCCTTGTCCTTCAAGTCACCTCCAGGGCCAGGTAACCGCGGGAACGCGGGCGAAAAGCAGTCGCGTCCCGCCGCCCAGACCCGGGAAAACCCACATCCCGTGCACCCCACGGCTGGCTGCGCAGCCTTCGGGTCCCCGCCAGCGACCCCGCGCCCCTCCCGCGCCGCCCAGCACAGGTGAACAGCGGCAGCAGGACGCTGCTGCGCCTGCGCGGACGGGGCGCACGCTCCGCCCCCCGCGCCGGCTCTGAGGAGGGTCCCCTCCCCTCCCCTCCCCTCCCCTCCCGTTCCTCTCTGCCCTCACCTGGGGTCGAGGCTGGTAGGCGCGGAGGCAGGGGCCGAGACGCCGGGCCGCCCCCCGGGTGGGCTGGTACATGATCTTCCGGGAGCGGAGACTGCGCCTCCGGTGTCCGGCCTCTGGCCTCCTCACAGGGTTGACCGCGCCCCGGAGCCGGCTTCTTGAAGGGGAAGGGGGGTGGAGGGGCTGAAGGGAGGGAAACGGAGATGGTGCGCGCTTGCGCACTGCAGCGGGCTCCAGAGAGGCGGCGAGGTCCTCCGTCCGCAGGGAGTGCGCCTGCGCGCGCCGGCTGTGGAGGCTGTCTCACAGCGCTTGCGCAGTAGACCAACGTCCTGGCGCACACGGCCGCCTCGCTGGCGCCGCTCACGCACAAAGCTGGGGCGCAACGGACCGCGAGCAGGTACTCGGGGAAGCGAGTGACGGGATTGAAATAATGACAATACACTTTCCCAGCAGCTCTCGTGATAAAAATAAATACTTTTATTATTCTGCTAAAAAATAAAATACAGGTGACTTGGCATTGATTAGCCCATGGAAGGAAGGAAGCAAGTTAGAAGGAATACATCCATTTGGAGGAACGGCTTGGGCTACCTCCTGTAGTGAGAATACTGACTGACGGGGGCGCTGTGGTCACCAAGGCCTGGTGCTGCGGCGGTCCTGCAAGTTTCGAATGAACCTGGCGTTGAGTATGTCCCCACCCATTGTCCAGGACTGGGTCTCTGGGGGAACAGTGTGCGTGGCTTCCTCCTCAGACCCAGCCTGGGACAAGCCCTGCTCCTGGCCGGCAGACCTAGTAGGCGGGAGGGAGATGAACAGTGGGTAATGGGGGTACTAGAGTAGCAGTGCAGAGGACTCTTCAAGGTCTGGTCCTGATGTAGAGTAGGGCTTAAGATGGACTGTGGGCTGAAACCATTAGTGCTGGGTACAAATTTGAAACACCCTCAGATCGTGCTAAAGGTAAGCACGAACCCACGGGGAAAGAGGGTTTTAGGATGTTAGGCAGAACAGTTTGTGGGAAGAGCTGGTGTTCAGTGGGGAAAGTAGCTGAGAGATGTTAGGAAAAGGAGTCAGAGATGGTGGGAGGCTGGCAGAGGAGGGGCTCGGACCTCACCTATTCTCTGTTTCCTGTTCCCCCTGCTTCGATTCCTGGTGGCCTATGGAAACACCAGGCATGTGCATGGGAAGGCTGGAGTAGGTAGTGAATGTGGCGTACCCTTTTTGAGGGCAGGAGGGGAGAATACTTACCTGTATTGGGGGATGAGGAACTCAACCCCCCATGGCGGCTGTAGCAGCAGCTTTGGGCTACCAGCCCTGGGGGAGCCCCCCTGTAGAAACAATGGGAGATGATGGGGTAGAGGCCATAGGAACAACGATGAGTGGGTATGGAGGAATCAGAGGAGAGGAATGGAAGAAATAGTACAGGAGAGAAAGAAGGGTAAATAACTACTTTTAATGTAAGCTGTGCCTCAGAAAAGGGGAGGGAGCTCATTTTATACCCCAAGATTTTCTGGATCAGTCCTGGTTTGTTGGTATTAGTTCTAGTTGAGGTACTGTGTTAAAAGTAAGGCTAAACGGGGGCACCAGGGTGGCTCAGTGGTTGAATGTCAGCCTCTGGCTCAGGTCATGCTCCTTGGGCCCTGGGATCGAGTCCCTCATGGGGCTCCCCACAGGGAGCCTGTCTGCTTCTCCATCTGCCTGTGTCTCTCATGAATAAATAAAATCTTTAAAAAAAAAAAAAAAAGTAAGGCTAAATGTGATCGAAGTGATGTCAGGAAACCAGACTTCTATATAGGCAAAAAAATTTGTTGGACTAGGTGCCCTGGTGTTTGGTTTAGAAAACCTGATGACTTTAGTTACAGGACAGGGCAGACCAGAGGGAAGTAGAGAGTGACAAGGCTGAATTCAGGAGGAAAAGGAATTGTCTTGGGAGAGGTCCAAGGCTGGGGGAAAGGGCAGGAAATCAGAACGGGAAGAGGAATTCAGGCAATGAGTGAATCCCAGGGATGTTGGCAGATCTTGACATTTTGGCAATGGCTGGCCGAGGCTAAAGGGCAGAAGTCACTGGGGGAGAACTGGAGGTTTCTGGAGGGAATGGGGGTGTAGATCTAGAAGCTGAGGTATCCAGTGACTATATGACACGAGACAGAATCTGCAGAACATCCAGCAGATCACAATGGTAAGGAAGAGGATAGAGACAGGTCCAGGGATCCCAGGAAAAGAACAGGTGACACACAAACGAGGCTGAGACCTGAAGTTTAGGATTTTTTTGATTTTTTTTTTTCATTGAAAATGTCCATTTAAAAAACACAAAAGAATGCACACTGTATTCAGACAACACTGAAAAAGAGAAGGAAAAGGAGTTGAGAGAGAGGGAGATCCTGCTCCCAAGTACTGGGATGGGGGAACACTGAGGGTACCTGAACTACCACACATTCAAGGAGTAGGGAGGGGGAAGGGTATTCCACACCCTGGGTATGGAGGTATAGAGGAAAGGAATAGAGGAAGAATTCCCCCATTACCTCAAGATAATCTCACAAGACTGGAAAATACCATCATCTAGCTACGGGGAGAGGTGAATGCAAGAGGGGTGGGTTCCTGGGAGCTAACATACTTGAGACTCAGGGCTTGTCTCCTGAAACATGGTTAAGAGTGACCCCAGGGGACTCGGTGGGACCACTGCCAAGAAACGAACTCCCTCACAGAATCTGGAGCTGGGGGAAGTAGTGGTATCTTTAGAAGTGTGTGGAGTCTTTAGAGCCCCAAAGCAGACATCAGCTTGGGGGTTCCCAGACACATATGCAAAACATGAGAGTAAGAGTTTGGCAATGTTGAGTGGATCCCTTTGGGGAGCTGGTAAGACCCTGTCCTTTATCACTGAACGGCTCTGAGGCAAAGCTCATTGGTCGGCTTCTGCAGGCCTCAAAGGTTAAGTGTGGGAGGCAGCACAAAGCAGTGAGAGCCAGCAGGAACACTGTAGAAGGACCGTGGGATTTTTCCATGGACAAGACTCCTTATGGGTTTCCCTGGCAGAGGAGGCCCTTGGGCCTTCCAGTGTATTCTCGAGTCTAACAGTAAGCAAGGGTGTGCTTCTCTGGATAATTAGTATGAGCCACCCAACCAAGGGATCTGGCAGCGAGTCAGGATCCTGTCTGTGGGAGTGTGTGGAGCCCACTTAGGAAAGAAAGCGTGCTTTCTACAGGAAGAAGAGCTACAACATACTAAGCCATCTGGGACCCTGACAACACCTTTGCCCAAGAAAGAGGAAAAGGGAATCCTACAAGCTCTGTCAGGTTCCCCTGGAACCTGGGACTACAATGGAAGAGTGAATCTGGGGTTCTCAGGGAGAGGGGACTCTGCCTGGCCCAGGTGTCCAGGGAGGGGGCCACTAACTGTCAGTATCTACTCTCCTCTGAGCGGGGAAGGGAGCTGGGGAAGGGTGTTATGGACGGGAAGGGAGAGGGATAAGGGGAGAGAGAAAAACAGAAAGAGAAGTCAGAGGTGAAGAGAAAGCTAGGGAGAGAAATCAAGGAGGTGCCCACTCTGCTAGGACAGGCCCTGCTATACAAAGCACTGACAAGAGCCCGGGTTCCCCGAACTGCCAGAGACCCCACAGCTCACCAGTAAGTACTGAACCAAGACCTCCCCAATCGGAGACTGTTCTCCCCACCCAATGGATCTGTACTTCCTAGCCTTCCTCCCATCTCTTGCTTTAAAAACCAGAGTCCCTCCTACACTCCATATAAAATACTATTCTACTCCTTCATGTACTTTATTTCCAGCTCCCAAAATCTGGTCCAATATATTCTTCTCAAAAGGTTCCGGGACTCTCCAATCCACCTGTCCTATCGCTTCTCCTCTATGGTAGACTCACACTGCCCTTTGCCATTGCTAACACCCTCTTTGACACGGTTCTGAGGCTCCCTGACCCTCCAGCTCTTCTTACCTGGTGCGGCGACGTTGGACTGGGCTGCCCCCAGGATCAGTAGCAAGCAGAAGGCGAGCGGTAGGGTGTGGGGGGCAGAGGCGCAGGGAACGCAGCAAGTCCTGCTCTGGCACAAAGGGGCGGAGGGGACCCCGCTCTGGGGAGCTTCCCAGGCTGCTGGAGCGAGGGGGTGGGTGGGCTGGAGGCGTAGCTCGGCGAGGGGCTCTGTTCAGGGGCCAAGGAGGCTCCACAGCTACCTTCAGAACTGGCAGGAGGGAAAATACAGAGCAAGACGGAGAAAGGAAAAGGAGAAGAGATAGCAAAGATTTGGGTAGAAAAAAAGAGAAACCAGAGCCTTTAGAGAGAACCAATCCTTCTGGGTAACGGCCCCCAAGCCCAGCAGCCACCCTACCCCAGTCTTACATTCTCGGTCACTAGAGGAATATGGCTTAATGTCTCCCTCTGCTCTCTTGGGTGGCAGCTTTCTTGCTGGAGCTGGCAGTGGAGAGGACACACACAAGGTAAGCATCAGGAGACATACTTTGCACCCCTCCTCCCACCACCACCTCCTTGACCCCAGACCTCTGCTTCCTGACACCACAGTTCCTCCTGGGGAAGGACAGAGGTCAGCTCCATCACAGAAGCAGCTGTGGCAATGCCTTCACACCAAGAGGGAGTTCAGGGGAGATGCTGGAGCACTTGAGGGGAGCCAGAAGGAGTAGGCCAAATGCAGAGTTGGGGAAGTTCAGGGGGAGACTCTGGGGCCTGGGAGATGCAGGAGAAGGGTGGCTAAGGGAGACAAGCTCTTACTGTTGGTGGGTGCTGTCAGGCCCCCCCGGGATCCTGGGGCAGTGCAATGGTCCCTGCCGGGCCAACGAGGACCCCAGGTCCCTCTGGATGAGATGGACAAAGTCCTTGGTTAATTAGGAATTGCTCTGGAGAGATTGGGGAGGGGCCTGGGGTAGGGCAGAACCTCGCCCTTCGGTGCAAAAATAGGACAAGATTGAAGTTTTAATAAGAAAAACATTTGACAAAATAAAGACATTTAGAGTAAATGGAAGGCAAACATATTATCCAAAGCCCTGCTTCCCATCCCCTCCCTTTTCTAGTTGCTCCCTCCTTTTCCAGCTCAAGAGGTTCTCTTTTGTGTGTGGCAAATGAGAGACTTCTCAGCAAATCCCATTTAAGCTTTCCCCTGGTCCCCCCTCCCCTGTGGACCTCACCGGTCTTGTGGCTCTCGGTCTTGTGGCTCTCGCTCCCTCTCATAGCCTGTAGGCAGCAGGAGCTGGATGGGGGCAGCTTTGGCAGGCAAAGCCAGTCATGGACATGAGCTGCCTCCCAGTGCCTGGCACTGGGCAAAGCTAATGGATGTAACAGATTGTTCTCTGGGGGTGGCTACTCCCCTTCCTGGCCACAGAGGGGAGAGCTAGCCACAGAGCCAGCTCAGTAAGGGAGCACAACTGTGCACACTGTGCTTTCTCTACCTGTGGGAGGCAGTGAGGAAGGAGTGGCTCTCAGACTCCCATAGGGAGTGTGTGTGTATGAGGATGGAATGGGGAGCCTGCACGACATCTCAGCACCTCCTCGGTTAGTTTCTTCAGATCAATTTCATTATTTGGTTGGAAATAGTGTAAATTGTGAGCATATTTTCTAAAACTATTTCAGCTTTGGACCACGTGTGTCACTATTCTGTGACTAGAAATAGAAGGGCTGATTGCACTTGTCTGTCCCTCAATGATGGACGGAAACCCAAGGGGTCCGCCAAGAAATGTGACTCTGGTCTCTTGTAACGGACCTGCAGCGACAAGAGACTCTACGAATATCGATCATCTAACAGGCTCCCAATGAGCTTGCTTAGTTAAAAGTTCTGACAAGCCTAAGATGTACTAAGTTCATGAGAGCAAAGGCAGATGGATAATGACTGCCAGAGAATTCTCCTAAACTGACCACAATCGCACTGTGCTCCCTGTGGCCTCCAGAGGAACTAGCCACCATGGCCCTACAATTCCACCCACTCACTGCAGCTTTACCAGGGGGTGTAGGATCAACCGCAGCAGCACGAGAGTGTCGAGATGCCCTCAGGGAGGGAGCAGGGGGCCCTGTGAGGAAGGAAGTGGTGGTGCCCCTCAGTGAGGGGGCCAGTGGGATCAAGAATCCACCTCTTTCCTTCCCGTCACTCCAGCTACTTGGCCCACACACAAGGTGACAAAACTTACGATGCTGATGGGCAAAGAAGCCTTCAAAGATCACAAAGTTGTTGACCTATAAAATGAAAGAAGTGAAATACTTATCCATTCAGCCATTCACCACCTAGGGACAGAACCTGGTCCTAAAAAAACTACAGTGGGAGAACAAAAGCCAGCCTTCCTGTCCTTGTTGACAGACTTAGTAAAAAACTCAGATCCTGATAAGCTGATCCTAAAAGTTGATACGGAATTATAAAGGACCTCCAACAGCCAAAACAATCTTGGAGGAGTCATACCTCCTGATTTCAAACCTTACTTACAAAGTATGTTAATGAAAATGGTATGGAAGAGGCTTAAAGATAGACATAAACACCAATGGCATGAATAGAGTCCAGAAGTAAACCCACATTTCTATGGTTAATTTTCAATAATAATGCCAATATGATTTAATGGGGGAAAACACCTTCTTTAACGAACGGTGCTTGGACAACTGAATGTTTACATGCAGGATAATGAGCGTGGACCTCTGCCTCACATCAGACAAAAATAACTTCAACTGGGTCAAAGACCCTAAATGTTTTGGGTTTAAGAAAATTTTTTTTAAAGTTTATTTAAGTAATCTCTGCATCCAACACGGGGCTCAAACTCACGACCTGCAGGACCAAGAGCCACACGTTCTTTGGATTGAGCCAGCCAGGCACCCCAAAGATCTAACGGTCAAGAGCTAAAAATATGAAACTCTTAGAAGGAAACATGGAGAAGGGCACCTGGGTGCCTCAGTCAGATGAACGTCGGACTCTTGGTTTCAGCTCAGGTCATGATCTCAGGGTCATGAGATTGAGACCTGCATCAGGCTCTGTGCTCAGCTCAGAGTCTGCTTAAGATTCTCTCCCTCTGCCCCCACCTACCCAAAAGAAAGAAACATAGGGGAAAATCTTCATGATTTGGATTAGGAAATTGCTTCTTAAATATAACACCAAAGCACAAGCAACAAAAGAAAAAGTAAATTGGACTTCATCAAAAGCAAAAACTTTTGCACTTCCAAAGACACGATCAAGAAAATGAAAAAGCCACCCACAGAATAGGAAAAAATACTTGCAATTCATACATCTGATAAAAGTGTTGTATCTAGAATATATAAAGAACACTTACAACTCAAGAACAAGGAACACAATTTAAAAATAAGCATAAAGGGATGCCTGGGTGGCTCAGTGGTTAAGCATCTGCCTTCAACTCGGGTCATGATCTCAGGGTCCTGGGGTATTGAGTCCCACATCAGCCTCCCCACGGGGAGCCTGCTTCTCCCTCTGCCTGTGTCTCTTCCCTTCTCTTTGTGTCTCTCCCATGAATAAAGAAGTTAAAATCTTAAAAAAAAATATATAAGTAAGCATAAGGAGGGCGCCTGTGGGACTCAGTCAGGTTAAGTGTCTGACTCTTGATCTCAGCTCAGGTCTTAATCTCAGGGTTGTAAGTTCAAAGCCCCCTGTTGGGCTCCACGCTGGGTGTGGAGTCTACTTAAAAAAAAAACAAAAACAAAAAACAAAATTGAGCATAGGTCTTGAATAAACATTTCTTTGAAGATGCAAATGGCCAATCAGCACTTGAAAAGATGCTGAACATCATTAGTCAACAAGGAGATCCAAATCAAAACTATAAAGAGACACCAGTGCATACCCACTAGCATAGCTAATAATTTTTAAAAAAGGAAAATGACAAATATTGGTGAGGATATTGAGAAACTGGAATACTTGTACACTGCTGGTAAAAGATGTAAAATGCTGTAGTCATTGTGGAAAAACATCTTGTCAGTTCTTCAGAAAGTTAAAGATCACCATATGACCCAGCAATTCCACTCTTAGGTAAAGAAAACAGAAAAGATATGTACAAACAAAATCTTGCACACAAATGTTCGTATTATTCATAATAGCCAAAACGCAGAAACCAACAAATCTGAATCAGCTGATAAATGGATAAACAGAATGTGGCATATCCATATGTTGGAATAATATTCACCCCAAAAAAGGGATGCAGTACTGATACATGCTACAACTTGGGTGAACCCTCTAAAAACATTATGGTAAGTGAAAGCCAAACACAAAGGCCACATACTGTATGATTCCATTTATATAATATGTGTAGAATAAACAAATTGACAGAGCAGAATACTGGATGACAAAGGCTGGGGAAAGGGGTATGGGAAGTGACTGCTTAATGAGTTGTGGGTTTCTCTTTGTGTGATGGAAAGGTTTTGGGATTAGATGGCAGGGATAATCACACAACACTGTGAATTTACTAAAAACCACTGAACTGTATATTTTAGATAATTAAAACTGCATTTTATCTCAAAAATCAAAAGCTCATACCCTACTTTTTATTTCTCCCAGGACCCAGGCTAATGGAGACATAGTGCACAAAACATCAGGGAAGAAGAGCCATCCAAACTTTCAAAACAGCAACATATACACATACACACACATTAACAAGGCCAAATGGTTTAAGTATACAAATACCGAGAAAAACTAAGATTTAGGGTTCAAATGGGTGGAATTGTCAAGGGAAGACATACTGGAGGAGAGGGTTCCACTATGATAACTGTTTTAGAATTATTTTATAATATTATCACATTCAATTTGGCTTTCACAACAATCCTTGGAGTCACTATGTTTTTTGTTTGTTTGCTTGTTTTAAAGATTTTATTTATTTATTCATGAGAGACACAGGGAGAGAGGCAGAGACACAGGCAGAGGGAGAAGCAGGCTCCATGCAGGGAGCCTGATGTGGGACTTGATCCTGGGATTCCGGGATATTATGCCCTGGGCCGAAGGCTGGCGCTAAACTGCTGAGCCACCCAGGGATCCCCTTGGAGTCACTATGTTAAAGAAGAGTCAAAAGAGCTTGAGCTGTCCAGAGTCAAGTAGCTAAGAAGTGACAGCTGGGCCTCAAGCCCCAGACTCTTGACTCTAGCTGTAGCATTGCAGTCAGGAATACAGTACAGTCATAAAGACTGGGCAATGGGTTAATTAATTGAATTTAAGTAAAAAAAAAAAAAAAAAAAGTAAAAACAAAACAAAGTGCTTAACATTAAAAAAAAGAAAGTGGGCAATGGGTTTAAATTCTTGCTCTACCACTTATTAGCTATGTTGAGTCTGGACAAGCTGCTAATCTGTACAAACCTCAAATGGAGTCAATAAAACCACCCACCTCAAAGAGATGTACAAGGATCAACTGAGATGATCCATGGAGATGATGGCACCCAGAGTTCATGAATCATTGTTTACATGATTATTTATAGTGCTTTGGTCTTTTTTTATATATATATATTTTATTCATTCATTCACGAGAGACACAGAGAGGCAGAGACATAGGCAGAGGGAGAAGCAGGCTTCCTGTGGGGAGCCCAATGTGGGACTCGATCCCAGGACTCTAAGATCAGGACCTTAGCAGAAGGCAGACGTTCAACCACTGAGCCACCCAGGTGCCCCTATAGTGCTTTGGCCTTACAGGTTACCAGGGTATGCTCCATACTGTGCTCCTCCACCGCTCTCCGCTGCCTCTTAATTGAACAATGTACTAGGAGAAGATATTCTAAATATAAATAGACCCTGCCTATCTCCTGCCTTAACCCTGTTTAGCCCCCACCCTCCTCCTCCAGAAACAAGCAGATGCCCAGCACTCCTGCCACACCAAACTGCCTGCAATACCCCAAAAGATAGTTGAATACCCATCTGCTTTTGCTCATGCTAGTTCCTCTGTATGAAATGCATTTTAGTCTGCCCACTTCTGTCCCCATGATATTCATTTTTTTTTTTAAGATTTTATTTATTCATTTATCAGAGACACAGGGACAGAGAGAGGCAGAGGGAGAAGCAGGCTCGGTGCAGGAAGCCCGACATGGGACTTGATCCTGGGTCTCTAGGATCACACCCTGGGCTGAAGGTGGTGCTAAACTGCTGAGCCACCCAGGGATCCCCCGATATTCACTTTCAAGATTAAATTTAAATCAAGCCTTCCTTTACCCTCAAGGGTAGCACTCACCACCATGTCTTCATACCTTCTCTGTAAGCACATCAATCAAATCATATTGCTGTGGATTAAGTGTCCATGCTCCTAATTCAAGGCTAACTTGTCAACCCAATCCCAACCCCTCCTGCCCATTCAATGATATTGCTTCAGCAATTCACCCCACTTTCTCTGACATCATCACATTTTCTCTCTAGCAAGTCATTCTTTTTTTTTTTTTTAAGATTTATTTATTTATTCATTCAGAGAGAGCGAGAGAGAGAGGCAGAGACACAGGCAGAGGGAGAAACAGGCTCCATGCAGGAAGCCCGATGTGGGACTCGATCCCGGGTCTCCAGGATCACAGCCCGGGCTAAACCGCTGCGCCACTGGGGCTGCCCCTCTAGCAAGTCATTCTTATGCTGTTGGTTCTCCCAACTGAAAACAATCAACCCTCTCTTAATCCACTTTCCCTCTAGTTCCTGCTCTATTTCTTTGTTCCCCTTAAAGTAGCAATTTATTTTAAAGATTACTCATTTGAGGGGTGCCTGGGTGGCTCAGTCAGTTAAGCGACTGCCTTAGGTTCAGATCATGATCCCAGGGTCCTGGGCTCCTAGCTCAGCAAAAAGTCTGCTTCTCCCTCTGCCCCCCCCCACCCCCCTCTTGCACGCTCTCTCTTCTGTCAAATGAATAAATAAAATCTTTTAAAAAAAGATTTACTTGTGAGAGAGCATGCAAGTAGGCAACCCTGTAGAGCAAGAGGGGGAGGGGCAGAGGAGAGGGAGAAAAATATCCTCAAGCAGGCTCCCCGTTGAGCATGGAGCCACACAGACATGGGTCTCAATCCCAGAACCCAAGAGGATGGTCTGAGCCAAAATCGAGAGTCTGATTCCTAACCGACTGAGCCACCCAAGCGCCCCCTTAAAGCAGCAGCATTTAAAAAGAGTGGCCTATTCGTGTTGTCTCCACTTCCTAGCTTCTCAATCTCCTAAAGCCCACTCCATCCAGGCTTCCATCCACCACTGCACTGAAAAGGCTTGTTAGGATCACCAGTGGCTTTAGGGAACTAAATACAATGGTCACCTCTTAGGCCTCTTCTGACCTCACTGATCAGCAGTATCTGACTTGGTAAGCCATTTCTTCATACTAGAAACACCTTTTCACTGGCTTTCCAGGTCACCCTACCTGTAAATTCTCATCTACTTCACCAGTCACTCCTTGGTCACATGTGCTTTCTCCTCCTCCATGACACCTCTTAAAAGAGTACTCAAGGTCTCAAGTCCTTGAACCATTTCTCTATACTCACCCCTTAGTGACCTCAGCCTGCCTCACTGCTCAATACCCTATGTATACAGAGACGTTTCTATTCCAAATCTCTTCTCTAAACCCGAGAAGTACCCAACTATCCATTCAACCTAGGATTAACAAAATCAATATGGACTCCTACCATTTCCCCCCCAATCTGCTCCACCTATCCTCTCAGTTACGTAGACTTCATCTGTCCAATGGCTCAGGCTGAGTTTTGGATGATCCTTAATTTCTCCATAGATAATCTATCAAGAAATCTTATTTACTTAACTTCAAAATATTTAAAACCTGACTACCCTTTATCCTCTCTAGTGCTACCATCTTGGTGTAAGCCACCACCATTTTTCATCAGGATTGTTGCTTCCTAACTAGTCTATTTGCTTCTATCTTTGTTTCCCTACTGCTGTTCTTAACAGCCAAAGTGGTCTGGCTAAATCAGATCATATCATCCCTCTGCTCAAACCCCTACTATGACACTCCTTTTTCCACTAAGAGCATAACCCAAAACCTTTACGATAATCTGTAAGGTAAGAAATGTTATTCTTCCTCTGCTGCTGGCTGATCTAATCTACCACACTCCTCCTTCACTCTTGGTGCTCTAGCTACATCAGCCAATTCACTTGCTCAGGCACATTCCTATCTCATGGACTTTGCACTTGCCATTCCTTCTGCCTGGGATGCCCTCTCTCCACATATTACCTGGCTCTTATTCTTACTTCCTTTAAGTTATTGCTCAAATGGCACTTTCTTAGTGAAGTCTCCCCTCACCATCCTATTTAAACTTACAACTCCATGCACTCCCATCCCCACAGTAGTACTCGCGGGCCTTCCTAGTGGCTCTCGTCCTCCCAGAGCACTTATCATCACACTAGATAGTCATTTATTGTATTTGTCTCACCAACTAGGATATAATCTCCACAAATGCAAAGACTTTTATCTGTTTTGTCGAGTAAAGTATTCCTAGCGTCCAGAACGGAGTCAAGGGCTCAATAAATATTTGCTAAATGAACAGATAGCATTAGTAACATTTTATCATATTTACTTATACACAAAACATATTCTCCATATTAGGCCAAAGCTCCCAAGGGATAAGAAATATATGTTTTTCTGAGTCTTAATAAATACTGAGTAAAGGCCTGTATAAAAACAAGAAGGTGAAATGAGCAGGCTGTGTTTGGGGCAAAAACATATTACTGGGTATACGGAACAAACCACAATGAAAAATTAAAATAGATGACAGTGAATAGCTGCAGAATGAGAGATGGTATCACAAAAAAAAAAAAAAAAAGACAACCTTAGCTGTATAAAATGAATCCTACATAATGGGGAATAAAAAGTGTTTCGAAGATGTCACTTCTTTGCCCCCAAATAAATAGATTCAATGGGAATGCTCAGTGAAGATCTACCCACTGAAACTTCTAACCTGTGGGACTGTGGTCTCCAGGTTGTAATGTTTATTCAGGAACTTAAGCAGCTTCTGTGAGGGTCGGTCAATGGCCAGTTGGTGTGGTTCAACTCGCTCCTTCTGCAGGGAACAGGAAACTCAGAGTAGGAGAAGGTGGGGGGAGAGCATGCCAACAGAAACCCAGCAGCCTGGGAAGGGAGTAGGAGGATATGGGAACATCATATCCTCCTATAGGCTGGGTCTCTGGAGGGGGTCAGCACACAAGGGCCTTTGATCTCTATTTTGGATGGACTGGTGAAAGAGTAAGTGATACCTGCAACATATAGTGGAAGAGTTCTCGCCCATGGCCATGACGCTGAAGTGATTCATGGATGTAAAAGTCCAGAATGCAAAGTGGTTCTACCTCATTGTGAGCCTCGCGATCATCCTAAGAGGTAAAGAAAAACAAGTATCTTTTAGGACCCAGACATCACTACCATCTTGCAACATCCAGCACTTTTATTCTCAGAAGCCAAGGCATGTGAACTCTTAGTTTCCAGTAACTCACCAGTACAAAGAGTTTCTTGTATCCAACTTTAAGGAAGCCGATTATGGCTCCTTTGCCAGCCCTGTAGGATGGGGAAAATAATGAAACAAGCTAGTAGCAGCTATTTGGAAGGGAAAGTCAACAAAGGAAGAAGGGTTGGGGGAGGAAGGAATAACATATGGATGGAAGGGCATCTGGCACTCACGGTCGTGCCGAAGTGTCTTTGAGCACATACATAACATGGCGATTACTCTGCATCCTTGATGCACTGGTGATGGGAGCAGGAAGATGCTGGGCCTGCAGGAAAATAAAGGCCAACTCTCTGAAAGTCTGTTACAAAGGACCAAGGCATCCCTATCTACTGGCCCCAGAGAAGCCTTCCCCTTTTCTCTATCTAAAGACTCCCCAATACCTTGGCAGAAGCCTTGCCCAGTTCATCTACAATGGTCATAATTTGCTGTTGTAGATCAACACTATAGAAAAAAAAAAAGGAACGAGTCAGATACTCACTGAATTAGAGGGTCCTGGGAACCTTGGCCACAACCCCAACCCAGGCTCAGCACTTACGGCTCTCTGACTTTACCTACGGCTCTCTGACTTTACCTTGGAGGCCTCCGGTCTGGTTTTCCACCCCACCTTTCGGGAACCTAAACTTTTGCCACGCCTCTTCAAAACGGCACACTCCCTCCTCCCTGGGGTTTAGTAGGGAAGCCGGAAGGGCGGGTCAATCACAAGCTCTGGTTAGCACAAATCAGGCCGAGGCGTGGAAGGTCACAGATGCGAGTGCCCATCAACTCCACCTAGGTCTAAGGTCAAAGGTCACCAGAAGGGCGCGCCAGGGCCACAAAAAGGGAGGTCACTCGTGAGAAGGGGGCGTGGTGCCTGGACCGGGTTTCGGAAGAAACCAGGAGAGAAGGGCTTTGGGGCGGGTGTGAGATGTCACCGGGCCGGCGTTGTGGTTCCGGGTCGGCGGGCTGGGGGTCGCAGGTGCTGGTCCAGCACCGTGATCCGCTCCGGGAGCAGCGCGTCCACGTCGAACGAGAACTCCATGGCCCATTGTGCGCGGCCCGCCCCGCCCCGCGCCACGTCACTTCCGCCCCTCCCTGAAGGGCGGGGTGAGGAGGGAGGAAGCACTTCTGGGAGCCTTTATTTTCCGGGCTAGGCGGGAGGGGCTCAGGAGCCGCCCGTGGGGGACGGCCTCGTCCGCCCTCCCGCCCGTCGCCAGGCCGGTCCCCTCACCACGCCGCTACCCAGCCCGCGGAAGCCACAGCGACGCACTTCGCCCAGTCCCGCCCCCAACCAGTGAGCTGCTAGGTACCGTGGGAACACGGCCCAGGAGGGCCAGGAGCCCAGGAAGCTGAGCATGACAGGATGGTCCAGCGGCTCCTTCCTGGTGGCTTCGGGCCCCAGAGTCCCTTGGCCAGCCTGGCCCAAGCCTGAACTCTCCTCTCCCCACAGCAGCACCCACATCCCCTCCCCACCACAAATGGAATTAATCTGAAACTCAGCCCAGAAACAGGAGATACAGCTTTATTGTGGAAAAGCCAAGTTTAGCAGACATCGGAAGTAACAATGTTTAGCCTATCTATTTACAATACATAGGGGCTGAGGTTTCCCATACACATCTGTCCTGCCCTCCTTAAGCCTCCGATGCATTTATTCCCTTCAACAGCAATCATTTCTTTCCTCTGGCCCTGGGCCTGCCATTGGCCACATACAGACACAACTCTTGAGAGTGAAATCCCATCATGTAATTCCTAGGCACTATCCCTTAATCCCTTCCCGGTCTATGGCTCCTACAGAGCACTCTGAGGGCTCTCCTCAGTGGAGGAAGATTCGGTTGGGCTGCTAAGGGGCACTTCAGGCATTGACTCAGGTGGGGGACCACTCTCTTCTCGAAGATGGCCCTGATAGAGCCGTCGAAGGCGGGACAGCTCTCTCTCCGGTGGCTGTTTCCAACTGTACCATGGATACCAGGGGTCACCTGAAACCAGGGTGGGGGCTGGCGGAGTAGCACTCACAGCTCCATGAGAGGTACTGAAATCAAGGTCCCGAGGTTCAACCTGAGGAATGTGGTAACTGAGAAGACCTAGGGGATTAAGAAAAGAGAAAGTGAGGGAGGCAAGCAAGGAAGGCTAGGTCAGGTTAAGACAAGTAAAATGACATTAAAAGGGAGGCAGGAACCAGTCAGAGCCAGAGGGTATATTTATGCATGTTGTACACAAAGGCAACTGGCCAAGGGAGCAATGTCAACCGATGTGCTTACTGCTGGGGCTCTTGTCTGCCAAGCTGTGCATCTCTGCATCAAGGCTACAGAGCTGTATCTGCACTTGCAGAGCCATTCCTTTCTTAATTTCTGCAAAGGTGTCATGGAGCCCAGGGCCAGAAATTTACACAAAGATCTCTTATCAAATTGAACACCAATAAAAAATTAATTTATTTTTTTTTTAAAAATCTCTTATCATCTATCTCTGGCACTGGGACCAATACTTATAAAAGGGAAGAGAAAGGAAAGAGAATTAAGAGGACAGGGCAATGACAGGATAAACTCATGAGAGAGAAAAAGGGACAGTGGAGTGCTGAAAGGAGATTCTTGGGAAGAGCATGGTAGGTGCCACCTTCTCAGACAAGTAGAAATATTTGTATCTACCCTTCAGCCCTAAATCACCTTTATGGCTAATAAAACTGCACTGGATCTATTCTCATGCTCACCATGATCTCTGGCTTTCTGGATGGCCTGGGTCAACTTCTTGTGTTGCTTCATACAGACCCCTGTAGGGAGAAAGAGAACTCAGTGCTTGTTCTAGAAAGCACAATAGAGTATACAACTGCTTCTATACGATTATAAAGAGCTGTGCTTGGAAATCTTGCTCCACCTAATAACCCTACTTCCCTGACCCCTTGATGGGCCTGTTTCCTCATCTACCCAATCAGAAGAATCCCCCCCTTTCTGAAAGCTAAGGTTGAGACTTTCAAGAGGGTCCAGCCACTACAGAAAAGCCATTTAATTATTTATTGTTTTAAAGATTTTTGTTCATGAGACACAAAAAGAGAGAGGCAGAGACACAGGCAGAGGGAGAAGCAGGCTCCATGCAGGGAGCCTGATGTGGGACTTGATCCCAGGACTCCAGGATCACACCCTGGGCTGAAGGCAGGAGCCAAACCGCTAAGCCACCGAGGCATCCCATAGAAAAGCCGTTTAATGGTAAAGCCTCCAAGACAGAGCAGAACACAATTCAAAAGGCAAGTGTAATTAATTAAAGGTTTGGGTTGGACAATCCACCGAGAATGATTCACTAAAGGAAGAAAGGGCTCCCAATCTAGAGAAGGTGATCTGAGAGTAGCAAAATAGCCCCTTCGGCTTTTTATAGCTTGACTTTATATAAAGCCCTTCTTTAAAGACTCCCTGACAAACCAAACTCCACTGATCATACTGCCATCCCCCAAATGGTGATTCAGATTACTCTTTGCAAATTAACTTTGCTTTAGAGCTGAGGCTGACAAAATCTTTCTGTGTGGGGCCACATAAATTTTAGGCTCTGCAAGCCCCACAGTCTCTGTCTCAGCTGCTTAGCTCTGCCATTGTAGACTGCAAGCAGTAGTGGACAATATGGACATAAACAGACATGGCAGTGGGCCAGATTTGGGTCATTAAGAATAGACGTAATCTTAAATTGTTAGGATTACCATTCCAGATTTTGGGAGATCTACTTGGATTGTCGATGGCAAAAAGAACTTATAGGACAATTTGCTAGACAACCTTTTGTAAAAGCAGAGAGACCCAAAAGGAAATAATTACCACCACTTATCTTTTAAGAGCCATGTTTAAATAATTTAGTTACATTGGTACTTGCCTGTACCTTTTATCCACATGTAAATGTACCCATTAAGGCAAGATTTCCAAAAAAAAGGTTCATTCACGTTTTTTATGTCATATGTATAGGAGCCTCCAGATACCTGTTGTATGAATGAATAAATAAGAAGTGCTCCAGGAAAAGCTATTCTGGTGGTGACAAGATCGACAGACTAACCTGTATACGGGGCATGGAAGATGACACCTGTGTGGGCGCAGACAAACTGTTCCAGGAGCTTCACGTTCTGTGGTGGAAAGTGGTGGGGAAACATGAGAGAGGGTAGGGAGAGCAGCAAGACCTTGAGAAACTGGAAGTGCGCAATCCCTACACATGTGTGTGGACACCCTAAATGCCTGTTTCTCCAGGTGCTACCCTCCTTCGTGTCCCAGCTTTAGCCCCATCACTCTGCTGAACACATTCCTGAAAACTGTAGTAAATGTTTCCTCTTTCTTGGCTTTCCAACCATTTCCTATGCTCACCCTACATTCTGTCACTGAGACTCTTATAGAATCCCCTTCTGCAGGAGTTAAGTTGTAAAATCAGCCCTTCATGCAAAAGATTGGGGATAATAAGGTGGTAATCCCTGAAATCACCCAAAGAAAAGCAGTATCTGTTATAATGTGCACATTTAAAATATGAATATGATAGCATGCTGTATGTAACATATATGCTACTAAGACCAATTTCATAGTTTTAATTATGTAGAATAACTCAGCCAGTGGGTTAGTCACAGGAGATGACACCCAAGGGAAAAAGTAGATATGCTTGTGGAGTAGAAGAGCAAGCAGAGTCATTTGCACTGTTCAATTCATATTCTTTCTTCCTTGATCATGTAACTGATTACAAACTGTATATGACTAGTTACATTCTCTTTTGTTAAAAAAAGAAAGAGAGTGAATGAGTGGAAGGAGGGGCAGAGGGAGAGGGAGAGAACCTCCAGCAGACTCTCCACTGAGCATGGAGCCTGGCATGCCCAGCACAGGGCACAGGGTGAGGCTCAATCTCAGGACCTGAGCAGACGCTCAACCGACTAAGCCACCCAGATGCCCCTATTCTATATTTATAACCAATCATACATAGTTGAAATTGAGAAGTTATCTATAGGACCCTCTTACAATGGGGTCAGAAGGGACCTAAGAGCAATCAGACATCCCCATCTACTGACTGATCTGTGAATTCTTTCCAACTCCCCTAATGACCAATCATTCAGCTTCTGCTCTAATACCTTCACTGCAGGCTCAGAACATTTTCCCCATTATTTTTGAACTTTTTTCCCCTGAAGATAATATTTACTTATTCATGAGACACACACAGAGAGAAGCAGAGACATAGGTAGAGGGAGAAGCAGGCTCTAGGTAGGGAGCCCGATGTGGAACTCGATCCCCAGACCTGCGATCACACCTTTAGCCAAAGGGAGATGCTCAACCGCTGCGCCACCCAGGCGTCCCAGTTTCTGAACTTTTTAAGGAGCAAGTCCTGTTCTTGCAATAAAGGCTTTCTGAAAAACAAACTCTGTATCTTGCTTCATGTATCTGCCTTCCAGCCTTAAATCTTGGCATGCCATTAAATAGTTACATGACCAAAAAACCCCAAACAAAAAACAAAACAAAACCCAAAAAACAACAAAACCGACCTCAAAAAACACTAGGCCTGGGATCCAGTCCTGCATCGGGCTCCCTGTGGGGAGGCTGCTTCTCCCTCTGTCTCTCTGCCTCTCTGTGTCTCTCATGAATAAATAAATAAAATCTTAAAAAAAAAAAAAAAAAAGAAAGATAAAAAGAAAAACACTAGCCCAAACTACTTGCTAAAAATTGGGATGGATATAAGACATAAAGGAACCTTTGAGTACTGCTCTCCCATTAGAAATAGACATTTTTGGGGATCCCTGGGTGGCTCAGCGGTTTATGCCTGCCTTCAGCCCAGGGCATGATTCTGGGGACCCAGGATGGAGTCCCGCATCGGGCTTTCTGCATGCAGCCTGCTTCTCCCTCTGCCTATGTCTGTCTCTCTCTCTGTCTCTCATAAAAAAAAAAAAAAAACCATAAAGCTTTATTAGTATGAACCACAGTAGAAGATAAAAGACTAGAAAAGAAGTTTTCATACTACTAGAAAATGAATGCAAATGGACTGTAGTGGGACACCCGTGGTAATCTCTCTAACACTACAAAGAGAATCCAAGTCCTTATCTTGGAGAAGATTCTCCTTACCCTAAAGTCGACATGCAGCTTGTGATCACGGCAGATGGGGCAAGGATTCCCAGCAACTTTATCTCTACGCTGTGGAGAGAAGAAACTAGAAGGTGAAAGATGTTCAAAGTCCTATGAGAAAAAGTGCTGGTGCCACTGTCACTATGGCCTCCACACTCCTCCACATCCCATCCACGTACCACCTTCAGAAACTCACAATACACGTCTTTCGAGTCCGCTGTGGGGGTATTCCACCTTTGTGGTTTCTACGGTAGTCAGCCCAGACAGGGCGAGTACTGTAACGATTCTGGTATTCTGAAATGAAAGACCATACAAATTATTCTTGGTAGAGATAGTAGAAGTGTCTCTGTTTATTTCAGACCCCCTTGATTCTCCCCTTTCCATTTTAGAGGTACCTTCTGAGTCCAGATATTTCCACGGTTCATTCTTATAAGGACTTATGGGAACTGGGGGCAAAGAATCTTCCTCAGGGGGACCTTTGGTGCAAAGAGTCTGGAGGGGAACCTATAAAGAAGGCAAAAAAAAAAAAAATGAGCAAATGAGTTCAAGGAAAGGACTGGATAGTTTCACTGCCTATATGTTAGGGAGAAGAGGAATATGCTCATTGTATTAACAGAATATAGAGGCAATATATATACAAAGTAGAATTTTTGTTAGGGTAAAAGTAGCATCAACAACCACTCTTCTGTCTTCTGGATCATGAAGGAAAACCTAACGTGAGAAGGTAACTAGGATAGGTGACTGGGAAGCAGTCATGCCCCATGGGGAGAGGCTCATTGGTGAGTCTCCAACTCAACCCAATCCTGAATCACTGAATTGCCCCTTTACAGAAGTCGAAGGTCAACATTCCACAGGCCAGAACAAACTTGAGTCCTGACGCTAGCTTTAAAGCCACCAGGCCTGTCATTAATTCCGTGGTGACCCCGTCACCATTCTTCAGTCCCACTTTAGGAAGTGCCAACTTTGCAAGCTTTCCTATCTCACCTGGCCCCACCAAGAACCTACCCTGCCCTACCAAGAACCTTCAGCGTGGTGAGTACATGAGGCTGCAGGAAAACCTCAACCTAAAGGACTAAGTTAAGGTCTCATGTATACTCCGATAAGAGGGAAAAGAAAAACAAAAACTAAAACAGAACCCCCCCCCCCCCGCAAAGTAATTGAGAGAAAGAGAGCTAAGAAAGTAGGCCCCAGGTCGTGAGAACGTATCCTGGCTTTATCCGCGGATCGCTCCGCAGGAGCTAGTGTTTCTCAAAAAGGGCACTCCAGGGATTCACAAGTTTAGACTTCATATGCATGCTTAGGAGCTGGCTGTGTACGACCAAGAGGCCCAATCCTTCACCTGGTGCTTTAGCCGAGTTGGTACGCTGGAAAAGGATGGTATCTAACCAGGCTCTTTTCCCTCGTCTGGCGATTAAAAAAATTCGCACAGTATTGAGAGCAAGGGGAATAGGAAGGGGGGTGGAAGCACTGCTGCCTAGACAGCCAAGGCATAATAAGCACTTGGGAAAGATTCCGCTCCTGGATTCCCAGCAAAGGAGCGATGCCCTAGACAAGGTATAACTAAGTTGCGGTTGTACAAGATGTGCTCCAAGGAGTTACCTGAACTCCGTAGGCACTTCTGAAGGGCGAAAGGCCAGGAGGGGGCCTCAGCCACGAACGCAATGCGGAGGCCGCCATCTTGACGCACGCCCAATCCCGGAAAGGCGACTGCGCATGCTCCAAGAAACTGACTAGGATAGGGGCGAGGGCGAGCCCGCAGTGCGGGAGGCGGCCGCGCACTTGCGTCAGGACGGAAGCGTAAAAGGGGGGCTGTGGGGAGAAGTCAATTTCTACTGCGTCACAGTCGAATTTGGCCTCAAAATTGCGTTTTTCCTGAGCCAGTCAGTACGACTTCTAGATCTTATACTTACAGCTTGCGTTTTAAGCAATTTTGAAGGAGATTTCGAGGGACATCTTCTCACTGCGCATGCGCCGGCCCGGTTCTGCCAACCAGGGTGAGAACTGTTCCCGAGGACGGAAGTGGTGGAAGCAGAGGAAAGGGAGGTGCTAGGCTCCCCGGTCACGCGCCTGTCGGGGGGGCCAGGAAGGAGGCGGAAGAAAGTACCGAGGGGGAAGGGGCTGAGCGAAGGTGAAGGAAGGCTATCCAATCAGCTAGCGAGTTGTGCTTCGGGTTGGCCAATGAATTCACGCCTCGCGCACAATGTCTCGCGACAAGGGCGTTTCACTAGCATGTTTGGGCGCGTTGGGCGGCGTCCGGGTATAAAAGACACCGCCCGAGCAGACAGGCGCCATTCTGGGGTTCGTTTAGAGGTAAGTTTGGGCATTTTGTCGGTTGGAGGGTAAAGTATTGTTGCGCTTGTTGGGCTGGGGAGGGGGTTAGGCATGGGTTCTCTTGAGGACCATGGCTTATGGAACGCGGCTGTGTTCTCGTTGGGACCTGGAGGTGTTTGGCGACAACAACCATGGTACTTGTGCGTGTTTAAAGCAACCCGTGTTGATTGTATCTTTCTCCCTTGTGTTCCTTTTATCCCAGGTTTCAGTTTTCTCGGAGAAAGACAGGCCGGCCACGAGGAAAACCGAAACAAGCCGCAGCACCATCTAAGCCCTTGGGAGGATCCTGAGGGGGGAAAGGGAAAACAGCAGCCACCAGCCCAACCACTTGTGTCTTCTGCCCCTTCCCACCTGTCTTGCCCACCCCACCAGCCCACGCTGCATGGGACTTGAAATCTGTGGCCGAAGGACCGTCACCACATAACTGCAAAAATAATCAACCACCCACCCTTCCCAAACCCACCCAAATCCACTCATCCAGCGTTTACTTTTTTGAATCCACTCAGAACTTTTTTTTCTACGACCCCCCTCCCTAAATGGAGTTGGGTGGGGGGAAAATGAATACTGAGTTGGCCTTCAATTTTTTACGAGACTTTTTGATCCAATGAGGCCCCCCAAATAATTGAGTTTTGGGTCCTGGTTGGTTGTTTTATTTTTTTTCTCCAAAATTTTAACCCCCTCCCCCCTGAGCCCGAGGTGCTGACGTCGCAAAAAAATTGGATAGTAAGTGTCGAATTTTCCAAAACCAGCCTTGCAACAAGAAATCAACGTTTCCCGTTGTGAAACCAAAAATAATGAGAGGAAGAAATGAGCCAATAGAACAAAATAGAGAACTGGAGAAGGACCAAGCCGGTCACTTAATCTCCATTAAAAAGGGGCCTTTGGTCTAAACAGTCTTGTTCTCTCTCCCCTACCACCTACCTTCCTGCCCGGCTGCAGGCAAGGAAAGGGTGGAGGGAGGGCCAGCAAGTGAGGATTTTGACGGTTAACCCTTGGTAATCCAGCCAATTTCCAGACTGCCAAAGCCATAAGTGTTTGCTTTTTATAAGGAGGAATGGTTAACTTCCTCTTGTTAGCAGTCTTCAAAAGGGTTAATGAGCTCACATACAAAAGATGGTGGATCTTGTGGCTCAGAAGTCCCACTTCTTTGTGTGTGAGACAAGCAGGGCGTCTTTCAATTTGCCAGATTAATAAGCAATCTGTACATAAAGATTGCAGGGTAAGGAGATGGGCAGAAAAGTAATAGCTGGCTATGACTTTTTAAATGATTGTTAAATCCTCTCAATTTTAATGTAATTTGCTTGGGGTATATTTGTGTGCTTAAAATAGGTGGCAATCTAGGAATAAAGATTGCAAGACCCTAAATTCAATACAAAATATAATCTTAGTGCCAGTACATACAAGATAATGGGGAGGTAAAGAATGTTTTGTAATTGTTGCAGGTTGCATAGGTTATTTAAGAGCAAAAATGATTAACATTTTAACTTGATAACGTTTTGGTGGGTGGGAAGGTTGGGAAATGTGGAATTCAGGAGTATAACTTTAAAAGCCATTTAGTGCAATTGAATGCTAGCTTTTCTAAAAGATTTGTGTCGTTAAAAGGAATTTTTTTCTTCCCTGCTTCAATATGGCGACTTTCCTTGTCCTTTTTGTCTTCCAAGCGGCGTTGCAGGTTGTGTCTTGGCCCATTTTTCTCTTGTCCTCCCACCTCAATCCTATTTGTTGAGAGTGGTCCAAGTCCTCCCCTTTTCCCTTTATAGGGAGGATGGGGGTGGTCGATGGTAGCAGGTTGAACCTCAATTGCAAATTCAGTTCCCCGCAGAAAATTGTTCTTTTAAATATTTTAATTGGTTTTATTTTCACAACTCTCTTCAATTAGGTCAAAGACCATTCAGGATGGGTGCTGGTTTGGGGTATTTTACTGAAAAGGGGTGTTTTTTTAATGTAACTGGCTGCCGGCAGAGCCGGGATGGCTTTTTTAAGTTTTCCTCTTCTCCATTACAAAATGGCGTCGTCCCTGCTGCTTTGTTGTTTTTTCTCCCCCTTTTGCCATCCAGAGCTTAGGGCCGCCCTAGAAACTTGGTCAAGGGGGAGGAGCAGCTTGGAAAGGTGATGTAATCAGCTTTCTTCCTCTCCACCCTCTTGAAACTCCACCCCTGAGCCGATGCTCCCTCTGCACGCTGCTGCTAGACAGGAAGAAACCTTTTCTTATCTTAAAAGGAAAACGCTTTGTAGCAATTAGGTCTCGAAGTTGTCCATTTCCTGGGCAGCTCTTGTAATTTAACAATCTGAGCCTGTTGCTTTTATTTCCACCTTCACTCATCACAACTGCTTGGAGGTTTTCCCCGCTTCAGTTGCCAGGGGCGGAAAAGCAGTCAAACCAACTATACTTAAGGCTGGGAGCCTTCTGGTGGGGTGTGTGTGTGTGTGTGTGTGTGTGTGTGTGTGTGTGTGTGTGTGTGTGTGACGGAGAGAGAGCGCGCGTGAGCGTGCTGTGTGGTGGGGGATACTGGGGTAGGAGGACTTGGGAAAGTGACTTGAATAGACAAGGGGCCTAATGACACTGAAATGTGCCATTTATGCCCAGGAGCCAGTCCTTGGGCCTGCTTTTGGTTGCTTTGTATAGAGACTGGGGGAGGGTGGGTACTTCAGGACTTCCTTTTAAATCACCCTTATTCCCACTTCTGGGTTTGGGGATAAACTCTTTGTGTTCAGTGCTATGTCACGTTCTCCAGTTGTGTAGCTCCTGTACTTTGGTACTAGGATTGAGAAATGAATAGGAAAGGAGGCGGCAGTTGTAAACTCAAGGCAGGGGGATGCGAGCTACGGTGTCTGGTAAGCAAAACCTTTCTGGTATTACATTTCACAACCTTCATTTCTTTTTTCCAAAGAACCACCTTTTTTGAATTTTTTTCCTTCCCTTTAGAAAGAAATTCCTTTAAAACGTTAGTGGAATAATAAATAACGTCTTCATTTTTCAACTCATGCAGTGCTTTAGCAGCGGGTGCATGTTTAAAGCCATGCTCTCAAGGTGGTATTGGGTGTCCTGCCCCTTCTCTATCTCCCTCCAACTTTTTCAAAGTCAAATCTTTGTCAGATTTTCCATATACTTTCCATTTTTTAAAGTCCTGCTTTGAAGCATGGAACTTCTAGGCAGAATCAGAAAGCCATTTTGTACAGTTCTCCTATGGTGACTTGAGACTTTAGGGCTAATTTTCTGCTGGGTACAGATTCTCAAATTAGTACTTAGACTTCTGGATTGGGTGGGAGGGACTCTTTCACATGTCTATTGACCACAAATTTTTTATCTTTCAAGCAGTTTGCCATGTGCCTCTGCAGCATACCTTCCTTGGGAGCCGAATATTCTACCCATTGGGGTTCCTGACCTCTAGTGAACAGGGTATTAATAAAGAAGATCTTCCTTAACATGGGAGATGGGGAAACAGGGTCTTCTAGGGAAACCACATCTATCCAGAGAACCTCGGAGAACCTGATCCTTATAGTTTGTGACTAGAGTTATACTTTGGATCTTTTGCTGGGGAGGGGGAGGGGGTGATTTTACATCCTTACTAAAAGGCAGATACGGTTTTCAAAATGAATTTGAGGATTAGGGACTTAGGAGAGGTAAGACCTTGTGTATCACCTTAAGATCTAATTCAGTCCACCAAGTGGTATAAGGACATATCTCAAACACCAAGAAAAGGAAGGGGAATGTTAGGGTCAGGTACAAAGCGTTTTCATTTCCAGAGTGCTAAGACTTCTGTTAAGGTAAATTCGGATTCCCTTCTGTGTTACAAGTGTCGTGATTGTTTTTAAAAGGGCTGTGATTTGCCATAGGGGTTTTGTCCTGAACCAATTAAGTTCTTTTCTTGGTGATGGGTATGGAATAACTAGCCAAGTTAGATATTTTTCACTCTTAATTGAATAACCCTCAAGTAAAACTCAATTCGGAGGCCAGAGTGGGTGTCCCTTTTAAGTTTCTCTCTGGTAAGATTAGAAGATTCCCCAGTGCCTGTGCTCATAGTGCTCATCTCCCTGGAAAATTCTTGATGAGAAGGAATGCACAGCTTAGGACAAGGTAGAGATAAGGCTGGGATTGTTCCCCTCCCCCTGCCCCTTCTGTACTGTCTTCAAGGAGTTTAAAAACAAAAGTATGCCCTAGATTGTTTGCTTCCAGAAAGCTTCCTCAAGCATTCATTTGAGGCTTCAGATAAGACTAATGTTGACACTTGGTTACTGCCCCTCCTTCCCTGGACAACTCCTTAGCCTTTTCCACTGTAGGTAGGCCTGTGCCAGGATTTTAGGCTCTTCATTCCTTTCCACTTGAGTGCCTTGTACCTTCTGTCAGAATGTACTGACTTTAAGGAAATTTGGTTGTGAGACACTTGGAATCCTTCATTTTAAGTGACTCGAAACTAATTTGCTTGTAGGAAAGCCATGAGAAAACCCATTTACATTTTGTCACAATTGCTACTTAGGAGATGAAACTTAATTCTGTTGATTATATTTCCAAAATCTAAAAGGAAAAGTAATAGTGGAAAATGAATATTTAAGATTCTGTTTTATGTTCTAGCTTTCCCTGAGCATTTTTGCCTGTTACGAATGGGAATGAAAAAGTTGTCCCTGGGTCCCATTCTTAGCATAAGGCACTGGACAGAATTTAGCGTTGTGCTTATTGGTCTCTGGGGATGGTTAATTCTTTCTTCTCTGCTACCTTCTTAAGTGAAGGAACATTTCGGCTCAAGTGACCCTTTTTTTAGTTTCTTAAGGAAGGAGAGGTAGCAGTCCTATTGGCTTAGCTCCTTGGTTACGCAAAATGTTCTCGAAGGTGGTGTATCTTCACTCGGTTTGAATCAGTGCGGTCAGCAGTATTTGGCCGGGTGGGAGTGGCGGTACTGGTTTGAAGTGATGTTAATTTAAGTCTTTTTGTCAAATTGTATACATTGTGGTTGCTGATGATATGTACTGCTTTGGATTGACTCCTTGTTTTTCCAGTCGCCCCTAGATGGGAAGCCTGTTTTATCCCTTTGTTGTATCTGTGTATCTCTTGGTATGGTGTCTGTGCCGCTCTATGTTGTCTTACCACATGGGAAAAAAAAATGCTTTTTTCTCCTTCCCTGTCTGTAAGAATCTGCACACTTCTGTGGATTTGGCCCGGGGCCTTCTAATCTATAGTATTCTATTTCAGTGTTTCTCTCTCTGACCTCAGGTTTTACCTGCCCTTGTGGAAATTCCAGCACAGCAGCAATGCACAGTTAACCCAGATTTGCTCACCACTCAGCATTTCTTACCTCCTTACTCTGTATTCATCCTGCAGGTTATGATCTCAAGAACCAGCCCCTTCCTGCTCCTGCTGCTTCCTAGGTTGTTAGGACTTCTCTATTTAGAAATTTATTGGCCTTGTTGTTGGGAGGACTAAAAATTGAGATTGTTAGGCTTGGGTTTTTTTTTTGTTTGTTTGTTTGTTTGTTTTTTAATTTGAGAACAAATAGAACATCTCTGTTATTTTATAAGAAACTTGGTCTTTTTTCCTGCACAAATAGAGTTATCTTTGTAAAACACAGATTTTCCCACCCTTCTGGGATCATGTCTGTTATCTGTACTACTAAGCTGGAGGCAAGAAATTGTTTTCTTCTTGTCTCCTTTCTACCCAGTGTTAGTCTTACATCCCAAACATAAGTATTACTTTCATTTCTCAGAATCCCACTCAGAGCCACATTGATTCTAAAGTAGCTTGGGTTTTGGACTAGAATTACTTCACACTTTATCCCATTACAGCAGTTTAGCTTTTAATGAGCTCCTTTTCTAACCTGGTTTAAAGTAGCTACTTAAAATTTAATAGCATTTTTCAGCTTCTAGTTTTTTTCTATTCTTTTTGGCTTCATGGTTTCTAATTTCAAGCCTTTCTTTTGGGGATCTTGGAAAGTGGTGTGGTTTTGAAGAGGAATAGTGATCAGATTCTCATCTTTGCTTTTGAAATCACAAACCAGCCTTCCTCTTAACTTTGAAACCATAAAAATGTGTGTAGTATCTGGTTAACGAGTGGCAGTTCATTTCAAGGCTTAGGATATAAAGGATTTCCTTTAAATCCATTTGTCTCCATTTCTAGGAAGGTACCCACAACTCTCTTGAGGGAAAGAGGATGTTTTCTAGTTTTGTATCACCTACTAGTTTAGCTGATTGTCTCTTGGTGCAAACAGAGCATGTCCTGCCGCTTGAGGTGATTATGATTCTTAATAGAGTGAGATAAAAAGGAACTGACTAATCTTAGAAGGCATATGGCCCAAGTGTCCAGGATTGGCCCAGTTCTTATTAAGCTATCCTTTTTTTTTCAAGCCAAATTTATCAGCAGCTAAGGGGAAATAGGACCTAACAATGAGCAAAAAAGCCTGGGATTGTTAAGTTTTAGTATAGGAACTTGACTCTTAGCTCTCATACGATTTAGTGAAGTTCAGCTATCTAGAAAGGATGTAACTGGGAGGGAGAGAGAAATACGTGCTGCCCAGTTCTCCAGTCTAATTTTAGTCTTCCCATTCAGTCCTGTATTAACACCATGCTTAACTTGCCAGGGGTGGTGATGGTCTGTGTTGATTTTTTTCTTACCTAGAAAATGATGAGTGTAGTTGAATATAGATTGAATAATTAGTCACAAAATTTCATCTGCTGTAGAAGTGGAATTTATTAGAGGGTATGGTGGGATTGTCCTTGCCGGCCATTTATTCTGTGGGTTTATTTTGTCCTTGTCTTAGAAACTTCAATCATGGGTTCGGGTCCCATAGATCCCAAAGAGCTTCTCAAGGGCCTGGATAGCTTCCTTAACCGAGATGGGGAAGTCAAGAGTGTGGATGGGATTTCCAAAATCTTCAGGTGAGTCTGCCTATCTCTGGATTCATTGTGGTTAGAGTATATTGTAAGTTGTACTCTATAAGGCAGAACAGAAATGAGTGTTTCTCAGAGGGAAGAGGGAGAGTCTAGAATAAGATTGGAATCAGTAATTTTAGAGTAAATGATAGGAAGAAGTGATCCCTTGGTTCCTAGCCACAATAGAGTCTGGGTTTGGGAGTCATACTTTGAGAGGAAGGGAACAGGGAAGCCAAGTGACAGTTCTTGGTTCTGTTTTGGGTCACATTCCACATCCCAAACTGTCGTTTCCTTCAGGGCTCTTCCAGTCTCCCAGGGGAAGGCAAGAGACTAAGCCAGTCCTGAACAGACTATGAACGGATGGCTGTTAGTGCTAGGGGAAGCAGAATCAAGTGTGTCCTGTGGGTTAGAGAAGCAGTGATGTTCACCTCCCCAGAGGCTTCAGTGTCTCCTCAGTTGTCTTCCATCCTCTCATGGGATTCCATTGGACTCTGAATCCATCCCATCCCCCGAGAGGCTTGTGTGACCTTCCCACTCTGGCAGAGTCCCAAGTCATCAGGGATTTTTAGGCACTCCCACAGATCAGAGATGCTTCTGCTGAAAGAAGAGGCTCTTGCTCCATTTCTAAGCTTAATTTCCCTCCTACAGCCTGATGAAGGAAGCACGAAAGATGGTGAGTCGATGCACTTACTTGAACATTCTCCTGCAGACCCAGTCACCAGAAATATTGGTCAAGTAAGTGGGGAGGATCTGGGAGGCTGGGATGGGAAGATGTAGTTAGAAGGCAGGGGAGGTGAGGCATGGGGTTCCCAGGTCATTGACGGGGGAGTAGGAGTGTGGGATGTGGCACTCCAAAACCCCGGAAGGGCATTACAAATTCTCCTACTTGCCTGCAGGTTTATTGATGTTGGTGGCTACAAGCTTCTTAACAATTGGCTGACCTATTCAAAGACAACCAACAACATTCCCCTCTTGCAGCAAATTCTGCTTACCCTGCAGCACCTCCCGCTCACCGTGGACCATCTCAAGCAGGTACCTTAAGTCTGTACAACGCTAGTGCTCCTTTTTTGCTTTAGCCTGACAGATAAAATACACCAACTCTGATGTGGTTGCAGTCTTGGACCTGCGCAGAAGAGTGATGGAAAAAAATAGGAATATAGTATCAGAAGGCTTGGTTTAGGCCCTTTAACAGATGTATGGTTAGGGCGCTTCTAGATATTTGAGCCTCAGTTTTCTCATCTCTTGTTGGAAATGATTTCTACCTACTTTGGTTGTTTTTAGAATTAAGTACGATTGCACCTATAAAGGTTTTGTAAAAGGTAAAGTACCATAGTAGCGGTGGTCGCCATTAGGGACTATTAAGTTGTAGGCAGGGCACTCCAGTTGGTGGAGTGTGTGGCTCTTGATCTCGGGGTTGTCGGTTTGAGCCCCATGTTGGGTGTAGAGATTACTTAAAATTTCACGAAAAAGAAATTGTGTGTTAGTGCAGTTGTAAGCTCTGAGAGGACTCCTGTTCCTCCTGGTACTTAACCTTTCTCCCCATCTCTTGTAGAACAACACAGCCAAACTGGTGAAGCAGCTGAGCAAGTCAAGTGAGGATGAAGGTAGGGGCCAGTCCTTCCTCATCACTTCACTTCTTACCTTCATGTCTCACTCCCATCCTTGAACTGTCCTGTCACTCCTTTCTAAATCACCTTACTTTTCTCTTTCTTGTAAAAAATTTCAAATGGGATTTGTCCATTTCTCTACCATTGAATGTAAGACAAGACAGCATACTTTTAACAAGAAGCTGATTCTTGATATCTCTTGGTTGTGAAAGCTATGCACTTGAAATTCTTTGGAGAAAATAGTGTCATCCTAGAGAGTGTCATCATCACTTTCTTCTGTTATTCTAAATAAACGTAGCATATTCTGGGGCCTTCAGTGTGTGTTTCCTATATAGTTCTACCAGTAAATACCTTCCTATAGGCCATGGGTCAGATCCTGAATCCTGGAGTAGATCACAGCTTTGGTAGCAACAGTCTGTCTTTTTTAAGATAAAGGGTTTTGGAGCCCTTGGCAAGGGCCATATAGTTCTGGCTTGAAGACAGAGCCTGGCTCCAGAAAGTCACAGCCTCTCCTTCAGTGAAGAAAAGGGTTTATACCCAGGGTACAAACCACTAGCGTGCCACAAGTGAGCAGAGCTGATCCCCTGATCAGAATACAGGCTTGCTTTTTTGTCTAAAAGGAATGTGTGCTAGGTCCTTTTGGAAGGAGGCTTTGGCAGTTTGGTGTGGAAAGAACATGTAGCCCTGGGTGAGCCTATCTGAAGTTCCTTTAGCTATAGGAGAAAACACTGGGAACATTTAGCAAGTTAAAGGGTTTAACTCACAGTGTTTAAGTGGAAAAACATTCTCTAGCTTTCCATTATTTTAGTTATATTAAATCTTGGTTTTGGGTCCTTTCGGATATTGAGCACTTCTGTGTTTGTGACATTACAAATTATCTTTAATAACTTATAATGTAAAACTACAGAATTTTCTATTAAATCATTGTTCATCTCTTATTTTTTCGTTGTTGGGTATATTGTTCCCTGTTTTCCAGTTGTCTCAATTGTACTGCCACCTTTGAATGTAGATTTAATTGTTTTGTACTTCCTTTGGAAATTTGTACATTCCTAATAAAGTCTGACTAGACTATAGTATCAATTGGTCCAAAAAGGTTCAGGATATCCCTGTATTAGGGATGCACTGGGGTTTGTGTTGTCTTAATTATAGAAACTGCTAGTTGTGTGGGTATTTATTTGAAAAGTTTGGTTTTAATGTTTTCAATAATCTCATTATTAAACGAATCTGTAAGTGGAAAAGCTGGCAAGAGGATAGGTGCCATAGATAAGAGATGTGATTTGCCAAGTACGAAAAGCAAGAGCTGTAAAGGTTTTTGTTTTTTTTTTCTGTATATTTGGAAACACATTTTGTCCTTTAAATTCTCTGACCATCTTTTTTCTCTAAACACTGCCTTCCCCATCTCTAAAGTGGTCTGTTTTATAAGCTCTTCCCTACACTTATTTGCTACACTCCCTTGATTTTTTTTTTTAAGATTTTATTTATTCAGGCAGCCCAGGTGGCTCAGCGGTTTGGCGCCTGCCTTCAGCCCAGGGCGTGATCCTGGAGACCCGGGATCGAGTCCCATGTCAGGCTCCCTGCATGGGGCCTGCTTCTCCCTCTGCCTGTGTCTCTGCACCTCTCTCTCTCTCTCTCTCTCTCTCTCTCTCTCTCTCTCTGTGTGTGTGTGTGTGTGTGTGTTTCTGTGTCTCTCTTATGAATAGAGCAGCAGAATGAAGCCAGTGTCCACACTCTTCCACTAACCATGTGTAAAAAGAACAGGAACTAAACTCAAGGAAAAAGCAGGCAGGGTTCAAGTGTCCAAACAGCTAAGAACAGTATTACTGTGTTGTCCTAAAGGCAAACAAAGTATCAAGGAGCCTGACTTAGATTCATCTTATAAAAGATTTTCTAGGGGATCCCTGGGTGGCTCAGGAGTTTAGCGCCTGCCTTCGGCCCACAGCATGGTCCTAAAGTCCTGAGATCGAGTCCCACATCGGGCTCCCTGCATGGAGCCTGCTTTTCTCTACCTCTCTTTCTGTATCTCTCATGAATAAATAAAATCTTAAAAAAAGAAAAGAAAAGAAAGAAAAAGATTTTCTAGGCCACCTTTTTTCCTAGAATGCCACTAGTAATAATGGCTTAAAAAAAATCAAATAGGGACACCTGGGTGGCTCGGCAGTTGAGCATCTGCCTTCAGCTCAGGGTGTGATCCCAGATCCAGGGATCGAGTCCAGCATCAGGCTCCGTGCATGGGGCCTGCTTCTCCCTCTGTCTCTCTCTTTCTCTCTCTCTCTCTCTCTCTCTCTCTCTCTCTCTCTGTTTCTGTGTCTCTCATTAATAAATAAATAAAATCTTAAAAAAATAAAGATTATATTTTTTCATGAAAGACACAGAGAGGCAGATATAGGCAGAGGAAGAAGCAGGCTCTTCACAGGGAGCCCGATGTGGGACTTGATCCCAGGAGCCCGGGATCATGACCTGAGCAGACGCTCAACCACTGAGACACCCAGGCGTCCCAAGAGTTTGAGCCTATCTCATGTTCTCCTTAAAACTCTGGGCTACGTTTTCTGTTACATAGATTTTCACAGTATATCTTTAAACCTCTGTATTTTCTATTATTGAAAGAATAATATTTTTAGTTACTTAGGGATTTTCCCTTATACTCTCACCTGCAGAGCTCCGGAAATTGGCTTCAGTCCTTGTCAGTGACTGGATGGCTGTCATCCGCTCCCAGAGCAGTACCCAGCCTGCTGGTAAGCTCCTTAGTCTTTTATCCCTTGTATTTATTTCTTTCCCACTGGCCTTCGGTGGCTTTAGCCTGCTTCACCTCTTGACAGTCTTTCTCTTTAAATAAAATCCTTTTCTGCTTTGTTTTTTCACAACAGAGAAAGATAAGAAAAAACGTAAAGAAGAGGGGAAGAGTCGAACCACCCCTCCCGAGCGACCCTTGACTGAGGTGAAGGCTGAGACCCGGGCTGAGGAGGCCCCAGAGAAGAAGAAAGAGAAGCCCAAGTCTCTCCGAACCACAGCACCCAGTCACGCCAAGTTTCGTTCCACTGGTAGGGTGGTTGGCTGGTCTTGGGAGAGTCTGTGGGCAGATGTACACCTAGGGCCTTGTGGTAGAATATTGGATTTATGATAGGGCACACATGGGGAAGAGAGAAGACGGAAGACTAGTAGGTGAGGTTTGGGCTGGGTAAAGATTTAGTGTTAGAGTGGGGAGGAAGAGTTAAAGAGAGTGGTAATAAGTTCAACAACGCAATGGCATGTTTCTTCCCTCAGGACTAGAGCTGGAGACCCCATCTTTGGTGCCTGTGAAAAAGAATGCCAGTGCAGTGGTGGTTTCTGACAAGTACAATCTTAAACCCATCCCCCTCAAGCGTCAGAGGTATGGCCCTCGTACTGGGTTCTGTGTGGGTTATGTCTGTGGACATGAGGGAGGAAGAGGGGGCAAGTTAGGGTGCATCAGAGATCATGTTGACGGCTCATCTTCCAACAGCACCACAGTTGCTCCAGGAGATGGTGCTCCCCCTGTAGAGAAGAAATACAAGCCACTGAACACCACACCGAATGCCACCAAAGAGATCAAAGTGAAGATCATCCCACCACAGCGTGAGTCTAAAGTAGAGGAACACACTGAATTGGGAGAGAACTCCATGGAAATGTGTGTGTGTGTGTGTGGGGGGGTACAGGATGGATTTCTTAGTTTTGTGTGCTTGTCTTAATTTTTGCACCTCTGGAGCTCCTCTTTCATAGGATTACTTAGAAGTAATCTTGGAGATGGGAATGGGGTGCTATTCAGTGACTGGTTCGGGGTGCTCCCAGTCTCAGGATGGTTGGTCCTGTCCATGAGGGTTGTTTTCCTGAGTTACCTGAGCTCTAATTAATACTGAAAGCCTCAAGTTGCTTTTATTTAGTTATTATTTATTGTTAGTTAGTTAGTTTAGCCCCCCTGATGTGGGGCTCGATCCCAGGACCCTGGGATCATGACCTGAGCTGAAGGCAGACACTCAACCCCATGAGCCCCGCCAGACACCCCAAGTTGCCTGCCTTTAAAAGAAAGAATAGGGCACCTGGCTGGCTCAGTTGGAGGAACATGCAACTCTATCTCCAGGTCATGAGTTCAAGCCCCCATATTGGTTATAGAATTGCTTTTTTTTATTTTAAAGATTTTATTTATTCATGAGAGACAGAGAAAGAGAGGCAGAGGGAGAAACAGGCTCCACGCAGGGAGCCCGATGTGGGACTCCCTCCCGGGTCTCCAGGATCACGCCCTGGGCCCAAGGCAGACGCTCAACCACTGAGCCACCCAGGGATCCTGATTATAGAATTTTTAAAAACAGGGGCAGCCCCAGTGGCCCAGCAGTTTAGCACGCCACCTTCGGCCTAGGGTGTGATCCTGGAGACCAGGATCGAGTCCCATGTCAGCTCCCTGCATGGGGCCTGCTTCTCTGTATCTCTCATGTCTCTCTGTATCTCTCATGAATAAATAAATAAAGTCCTTTTAAAAAAACTGAAAAACAAAATTAAAAAAAAAAATTTTTTTTTCTTGTGTGAATCCAGCATATGCATCCTGGTCACCTTGAACTTAACTGTGTCCTAAGTTGGGGTAGGGTCTCCATTGGCCCATTTCCTGCTCAAACTTTGTAGGAATAGGATTGTGAAAGAGGTCTGATGGTTCCATTTTATGCTTTATCTTCTTATAGCTATGGAGGGCCTGGGCTTCCTGGATGCACTCAATTCAGCCCCTGTTCCAGGCATCAAAATTAAGAAGAAGAAGAAGGTGTTGTCACCCACAGCTGCCAAGGTATGAGCCCTGTGCCGTAGATGTCAACGACAGGATGTCTAAAGTGAAAGGAAGGGCCCAGGAATGGTTGGGGAGGACTACAGGATGTGGACTGGGGTGAGGGTTGGGGGGCTGGCAGTGGGAGACGCAGAGTCTTCCTTCATCTGAATCCGCAGGGGAGCCTGTCTAGGATGCTGGACTAACTGCCTTACCTTAACCTTGGCTTTCGTGTCAATTCATTAACTTCTTTTTCTTTCATAATAGCCAAGCCCGTTTGAAGGGAAAACAAGCACAGAACCGAGCACGGCCAAACCTTCTTCCCCAGAACCAGCACCAACTTGTGAGGCTATGGACACAGATCGCCCAGGAACCCCAGTTCCCCCTGTTGAAGTCCCAGAGCTCATGGATACGGGTAAGTCTAGAAATTGGTTCAGGTTTGGGGGGTTTCTAAAAGGAACGACCTGGGTCTGACACCTCTCTTGCTTCCAGCCTCTTTAGAGCCAGGAGCGCTGGATGCAAAGCCTGTGGAGAGTCCCGGAGATCCTAGCCAGCTGACCCGGAAAGGCAGGAAGAGGAAGACGGTGACATGGCCTGAGGAGGGCAAACTGAGAGAATATTTCTATTTTGAACTGGATGAAACTGAACGAGGTGAGCCGTCAAGGTTCTTGTGTAGTAGATGGGTATAGAGAGTTTATTTTTATTTATTTATTTATTTTTCGGTATAGAGAGTTTAAAAAGGACTTGTTATGTGCTTATATTTTCTCTTTTCTCTCCTTGCCACTAGTAAACGTGAATAAGATCAAGGACTTTGGTGAGGCAGCTAAGCGAGAGATACTGTCAGACCGACATGCATTTGAGACGGCCCGGCGTCTGAGCCATGACAACATGGAGGAGAAGGTGCCCTGGGTGTGCCCCCGGCCCCTGGTTCTGCCCTCACCTCTTGTCACCCCTGGAAGCAACAGCCAGGAGCGATATATCCAGGCTGAGCGGGAGAAAGGAATCCTTCAGGAGCTCTTCCTGAACAAGGAAAGGTGAGCAGAACCGGGTTCACACCCTGGGCATGAACCATGTCCACATTAAGTGCTTGGACTCCTGAGAGGAACATGCCCTGGGGTAATTCAGAAGGGGGTGGGGGCGAGGGGGGAATGTGGGGGCTTGAATAAATAATTTATCTATCATTCTTTTTTTTTTTTCTTGTCCCATCACCTGTGGCATTCCTAATAGTCCTCATGAACCTGATCCTGAACCCTATGAACCTGTACCCCCAAAGCTCATCCCCCTAGATGAGGTGAGCATACGCTATGTGGTGGTGGAGTTGTGATTGATCTTAGTGCGTCTTTCAGCATTTTTCAGTTTCAAATGGAATGTCTCTTCGTTCTTTCAAAGCTAGTCCTGATTGTTCTGTTCTTGCAGGAATGTTCCATGGATGAGACCCCATATATTGAGACCCTAGAGCCTGGGGGAGCTGGTGGCTCACCTGATGGAGCAGGTGGTTCCAAGTTGCCTCCTGTCCTGGCCAATCTCATGGGAAGCATGGGTGCTGGGAAGAGCCCCCAGGGTCCTGGAGGAGGAGGCATCAATGTCCAAGAGATCCTCACCTCCATCATGGTATATGAGCCCGCCTTCCTCTTTTCCACTTTGTCTGGAATCTGCTTTCCTGTATACCCTAGTACTTGTCTTCTCACTTACCTCTTCATCTAGCTCTCTTTTCTTTACTAGTTTTTACCCTTGCATTCTGTTGACTGGCTCTTTATTCACCTTGCCTCACAGGGTAGCCCAAATAGTCATCCCTCAGAGGAACTGCTAAAGCAACCAGACTATTCAGACAAGATCAAGCAGATGCTCGGTAATCACCAGGGCCAGGGAGGGAAGCCTACTGTGGAGTTGGTGTGGGGGGAGCAGGGTTCAGACAGTGGTGAGCAAAGGTATTGTTTCTGCTAGGAAGGAAGACTGGATGGAGCTTTGGTCTGACAAGTTGGTCTGAGAGGGCCAGAGGGGCACACCTAAGGAGGAAGTCATGCCACTCTTCTAGAATCCTCTTGCTGACTATATTTTGTTTTTTAATTAACAGTGCCACATGGATTATTAGGCCCTGGTCCAATAGCCAATGGTTTCCCACCAGGAGGTCCTGGGGGTCCCAAGGCCATGCAGCACTTCCCCCCTGGACCTGGAGGACCTATGCCAGGTAGGTGGGAAATGAGAGGTTAGAATGGGTTTATCTGCCTAATTTTGGCTTAGTAATAGTGTAGGATTGACCAAAAGGTGGGAGGTAGGTTAGGCTGGGAGAGGCCATCCCTGAGTGTAACAAGTCGCTGATACAGTCTCCCTTTCTTTCCATAACAGGTCCTCATGGAGGCCCTGGTGGGTCAGTGGGTCCGCGTCTCTTGGGTCCCCCACCCCCTCCACGAGGGGGTGATCCCTTCTGGGATGGCCCAGGTGACCCCATGCGAGGTGGCCCAATGCGGGGTGGCCCAGGACCAGGTCCTGGACCATACCATAGAGGCCGTGGTGGCCGAGGAGGAAATGAACCACCTCCTCCTCCTCCTCCCTTCCGGGGGGCCAGGGGAGGTCGCTCTGGCGGAGGACCTCCAAATGGACGAGGGGGCCCTGGTGGGGGCATGGTTGGAGGTGGTGGTCATCGTCCACATGAAGGCCCTGGTGGGGGCATGAACAGCAGCAGTGGGCATCGTCCTCATGAAGGCCCTGGTGGTGGTATGGGTGGTGGGCATCGCCCCCATGAAGGCCCTGGCAGTAGCATGGGTGGAGGTGGGGGACATCGTCCTCATGAAGGCCCTGGTGGTGGCATGGGCAGTGGCAGTGGCCATCGTCCTCATGAAGGCCCTGGCGGTGGCATGGGTGGAGGCAGTGGACATCGCCCCCATGAAGGTCCTGGTGGAGGAATGGGTGCTGGCGGTGGACATCGCCCCCATGAAGGTCCTGGACATGGGGGGCCCCATGGCCACCGGCCTCATGATGTCCCTAGTCACCGAGGCCATGACCATCGAGGGCCACCACCTCATGAGCACCGTGGTCATGATGGCTCTGGCCACGGAGGAGGGGGCCACCGAGGGCACGATGGAGGCCACAGCCATGGAGGAGGTGAGAATGGTTCCTGCTCATTGTATGGCTTTTGGTGTTCCATTTAAGTTTTGGGGTAGCATCATCACTCCCCCCGGGGTGTGGTAGGCCAGACAAGTCCCCCTATTTTCAGCATGCCTGGCAGTTGCCTCAAATCCATAAGATTCCGTATCTCCCTGCAGGCTAGTTTTCAGGGTGCTATGGACCGGGTGGGGGTGGGGAGGCAAGGGTGGCATTGACCTCTGAGCCGTGTTCTAACTGTTCTGCCATCGTTCCCACAGATATGTCCAACCGCCCTGTGTGCCGACATTTCATGATGAAGGGCAATTGCCGCTATGAGAACAACTGTGCCTTCTACCACCCGGGTGTCAATGGGCCCCCCCTGCCCTAGGGACTGCCTCCTCTGCCCCCCCCCTCACCCCATGGACTGCAGCCTTGCTCCTTCTACCCTCTTATGGCTTCTGTGAGGCCCACTGTCCCGTCCCCTGCTGATGAGGAGCCGGCCCCTCAGTCCCCACCTGCTTGGGTTTCTGGGGGTTTTGTGATCACTGGTGCACATCAATGTACATATTTTCCTCCAGTCTGGGGAGGAGAGAGACTGGATACATTCTGTACCCTGGACGGCTGAAGAGAAGACCCGGTTGGCTTCAGTTTTTGAGATTGGCCCTATAGCCCCAAACCCCTTTCCAGTATTGCCCTTTATGCCTGAGAACCTAAAGCTGGTTATCCTGGAGAACACCTCTACTCTCCTATTGTGGGTCCTCCACATGCACACAACTGATACGGAATCAGCTGCACTTATGAAATCCTCCCAGCCAAGTTCATTATTCTTCATGGGGTGGGGAGATGGTAAAAAGGGGTATTATATATCCCGCTGCACTGAGAGGGCTCAATCAGGCTGGATTTGAGTTCTGGAATACATCATCCCCACTTCTCCCTGGACACAGGCTTTTTACATTGAGTCCTTTCTCAAGTCAGACTTTGCAACCTGTGGACACCCAAGTCTGCACCATGGGTCTGCTAGTTCCAGTGATGGCCAATTCATGTCCTGCAGCCAGTGGAAGTTGCAGCTGGCACAGGTGAGACGTGGTGGTGGTCCACCCTCACCTGCAGCTCATTCTGGAAACTGTAAAACACTTCATTGAGACCAGCCATTCATCAATTTGCCCGGCACGCTGGGCCTGACAAGTCACACTACATGCACTGCCTTCAGGAGTTGGCATACTCAGCCCCCCACCTGGAACCTTGTCAGTGTGAGGCCTCTGGCTCCCTTGCCCTGTCAGCCACCTCTGAGTCCCACCAGGTGCCTTCCTGGGTGGGTGCCGCAAGCTGACGCACCCTTCCCCAGCCCTCTCCTTCCCAGGTTTTGGCATCAGTTGTTTTCTATGAAAACAGTGGATTGGTTGGCTTTTGTGCAGGGTCTTGTGTTAGAGCCACGATGGATTTGAGGGATGAGTTTTTTTTTTTCTTTTGGTTTTGTATATTTTGTACATTAATAATAAACAGTGGAAAGAGAAGCAGCTTATTTAACCCCTAGTGTGTTTGGGCTCTGTTTAAACAAGAACGGCCATTGTCCTCTATTTTAAGTACATTAGTACAAACCTCTATGGAATCTTTAGTCCTTTGAGGAGCTGAAGTTCTGTTGTGAGATAGTGTGGGTGTTAAGTATTTTGAATATAAGGAACCACAGGTACAGAGTAAGTCCCTTGGGTCGACATCCTTTGTACAGCATTGGGGCCTAGGGGAGCAGCTTTTCAGATGGCTGGAGCTGCAGGTGGTGTTAGCGGACACCGACTTCACCCCTAGTTGAACCTACCATCCCTGTGGTGTCGCTTAGGAAAGGAATTCCAGTGAGTGAGAGGAAGGGGGAAAATGAGGCAGTTTCTGGGGAAGGAAAAACCAGTGGCTCCGTTTCTCAGTGGAGAAAGAACAGTCCAGGCTGAGGCTACTATTCCCTCAAAAAGTGGCTCTGTAGGGCAGGCGTTACTAGGCCGACTTGCCTGACATTGGCTCCTTAAGGACAGGTATCCAGGGTTTCCGTCTTGGGGAGGCAGGTTTTGGAGATCAGAATGTAGAAGGATAGGATTAACTCCAAATAGGAATTTCTGCTATTACTGACATTAGGAATTAGAGTGCATTTTGGGGAGGAAGGTGGGCTATGGGAGCAGGAGTTCAGAAGAATGGTCTTAAGGGGCACCTGGGGGGCTGGGGAGAGCATGAGACTCCATCTGGGGGTCATGCGGTGGAGCCCAATGTTGGGCCTAGAGATTACTTAAAACATTAAAAAACAAAACAAAACACACCAGTTTTCAAACTCTTAACATTCATCAGAATCATCTGAGGGGCTTTTTAAAAGGCATGAGGAATGAGTCCAGCACATACTCTGGTCAGTAGTTCTGGGAGAGATCCTGAGAGTTTGCTTCTAGCAAGTTCCCAGGTGCTGATGCCCATTGGAAAGCCCTGAAAACACTGCCGTACAACCAAGTTTCAAGAATTGGCCACAGGAGGGCAATAACCTACATTTCACGGGCCTCATTTACATGAACAAGGCCAATGGGGCTACTTTTATTTTTCCTTTGCCCACAGAGGCTGCACTCAGTGCTTAGCCACTGTAAGTGGCTCTGTGCACTTAGGATCTGAGAGCACCCAAACTAAGAGGCCACAGAACCTTGAAAGGGCTCAAAGTTTTTTCTATTTTAAAAATGAGTTCACCCATCATCTTTCCTTCAAACTCTCCACGAAAATCCAAAGTAACCTGTTGAGATTTTTTTTTTGGTGGAGGCTGACCATCCCCTCCATTTCAGGCACTGACCCACTCCATCCATACCGTCACCAACTCCCTACAGGCACCTCTCCATTTCAGCCGGTCTGTTCTTTCTCATTCATTTCCCTCACCCCCAAATAGCCCTCCTGCTGTAGCCTCTCTGCCAATCCCTCCCCAGGCACACCGGCTCCATCTCTAATTCTGGCTCATCATGAGTGTTCTAGTTCTCCCATTCCTACTCCCGAGCAGCAAACCTAATGTTGCAAAAATGCAAAATCCTACCATCTTGGCTCCGTACGAAATCACTAGCAGCAACTCTACTGCTGCTTGCCAAGAGCTAACTCCTGTCTAGCACCAGAACTCCTGAGCGAGCCCTATCCAATGGGGACACCATTTCGCCTTCAGCTAAATCTGAGTCTACCTAATTTTTCTTTCCGAAAGAAGGGTGGCTCTTTCCAAGGCAGTATCCAACCCTTCTCTCGGTATCTTCCTGTGTCCTCCACCCAGAAACCAGAATTTTGTAAAAATGAGAAAACCTCAATTCTTACCACTGTGTAGAGATCAGTGGCCGCCTATTTCTCCCCAAACTGTACCTTAACTCCCCATCAAGGCTTACAGGCTCGGAGTGTCCTGGCCTCTGCTTCCGCCCTTCCCAGCTTCAGGGTCTCTGCACACGGTGGTTTCTTCCCTAGGGGGCTCTTCTTCCCCACTCACCTAGTCCCTTCACCACCTTCAGGCTCTGGCTTTAAGATTACTTCCTGAGAAGTCAACTTGACCCACATGATTTAAAGATGAGCCCTCTACTTTCCTGGCACCATGCTTCCTTTGACATGCTCCAAAGGCACTCAAGTTCCTATCGTTGCCCTAACAGGCTTCCAGGTGATGCTCACGCTGCTGGCCTGGACACATTGTAAACCACTACCCGAAAACAGCCAGTTCAAGTGTTCAGTTGCATTTAGCATAGCCACACAAAGGCAACTTTGGCCTCCTCGAGTGCTGTATGGCCACAAGGCTCTCTCCTGGATTTCACTTCTCCAATCGTACTGACACTACTCCCAAAAAACCCCTTGTGTGTTCCTAAAACACAGTGCTATCCCGGCTCCAGGCTCCTCCAGAACTTGTGCTTCGGTCACCTTGTCCACATCTTACACGAGGGAAAATGTTCAGGATACTGAAGTCAGATAAACGACGATTACAAAAACAAAACCAAAACCAAAACAAGGGCCAATGTAAGCAACAAATGTCTCTGTTGAAGGCGGAGGACCGTGGGCGGGTCTTGGTCCTCGGAGTCTTCATTAGGAAGCTGTGCAGAAGAATCTGCTTTTCAAAAACGCTTCTACGGCACTTACTATATACAACAGTACACAATTCACAGATAACAAAAGTTGTTTATGAATATTTAATTCTGTTAACGAAACCCATTTTCCAGGCTTTGAGTTTTCCATATATACTGTATCACGTAAACTGTGTGGCAGCCCAGATGGCTCAGTGGTTTAGCGCCACCTTCAGCCCAGGATGTGACTGATCCTGGAGTCCCGCGATCCAGTCCCACGACAGGCTCCCTGCATGGAGCCTGCTTCTTCCTCTGCCTGTGTCTCTGCCTCTTTCTGTCTCTCTCATGAATAAATAAATAAAATCTTTAAAAATAAACTGTGTTTAAAAGATTTGAGACACGGGGAGGGAGAGAGCATGCTTGTGCACGCGTGAGCAGGATGGGTGGAGGGAGGGAGGGAGGGAGAGAAAGAGAGAGAGGAGGGAATCCTAAGCAGACTCTGCTGAGGGCAGAGCCAGACATGGCGCTCAACCTCCCAACCCCTAAGATCATGAAGGGAGCCAAAATCAAGAGCCAAAGGCTCAAATGACAAGCCATCCAGGCACACCTTCTTTGTGCTTTCTGCATTCAATTGCATTTATGCTGCTTTTTTGGGGTGAGAAGGAGCAACCTTTTGCTCATATTTAAGTGATTAATAATTCCTTCATGTATATTGAATGAAAAAGTACAATTTGTGTCTATGGACAGAAGCAGTTTTGGAGCATCTGAAGTACTTGTGAAATTAGTGATCAAAACCTTAAAATGTAAAATTTTGGTGTTCCTTTTATAAATAACATTCCTACATATTTTACGAATCCTCTAGACTAGTGAACTGAAAATTTTAAGTGTAAAGTGTAACATGAAACACATGTAACAAAAGCAGAAATTTAAAGCACTTCACAAAATAACTGCACATCTAATCCCTTAATAATAACCCTACAAGGTAGGTATTTTTTATCATCTTCATTTTACAGAAGAGGAAAAGGTACCAACACCATGCCATTAGTAAGTGGACCTGAAGCCTGGTCCCCGTTGCTCTGTGACAAGAGTTACTTCATACAACTGTGGAAATTACTTCACATGGAACATCTTATTCAGATGCTTTAGTTCAAGATCCTGATTATTTCCCCCTCAAATTCCGTTAAGAGGTACGCCTGGGTGGTTCAGTGGTTGAACGTCTGACTTCGGCCCAGGGTGTGATCCTGAAAACCGGGGTTTGAGCCCCACATGGGGCTCCCTGCATGGAGGCTGCTTCTCCCTCTGCCTATCTTTCGGTGTCTCATGAATAAATAAATAAAATCTTAAAAAAAAAAAAATTCCGTTAAGAGGGATGGTTCCTAATTTGAGATGTTCCCTAACAACACTTCTCTACACACCAAACCTGCACTTCCAGTAGAAAATCTGTACTTCGGGCCCATTATTTTTATAGTTTCCCATAAACAGATGTCCACACTCAGTGTCTTAACCAAAATAGTGCCTTGTATTCCCTCTAGAACTGGATACCTCAGATCATTCTCCTCTAGAATTCTCTCCAACTCCTATAACTCTTTTGACCTTTCCCTCTCATCCCTCCCATACCCTAGTTCAGCATTTAGTTACCTCACCTGCAAGAAGTTATGGGGTCCACTCCATATGCTTCCACAGCCCCATCATCACCTCAAGTCACCACTGGTTACTTTCCCAATCTATCTCTGCAATCTAACTCTAGGAATGGCCACACCAGCTATGCTCTCTCATTAACTCCCAAACAGTCTGTTCTTTCCAAGACTTAGATCTGCTCTTTTCCTAGATTCCAAAAATGGCTTCCTGTTCTCTCACTATTCAAATTTTTCCTTTTCAAAAGGCCCCTGAAGTGATCCTGTCAAATAATCAAGTTCTGGATAATCTTTCCCTTCTATGAGCAAATTGCAACTTATAGAATCTAGAGTACCACAAATTGGCAATTAACCAAATTACCCTTAGGCTGATGTCTCATTTTCTAAGTCTTGTGTAGCTAGACTATTGATGAGGTAGACTTTGTCTTTTCCTTTTTTATACCCCAGTGTTGTTTGTACAGGACGGTTGATTTAGGAATTTCTGAGAGGATCAGTACTGTGATCCCTGACCACAGGGCAGAGCTTGGACAATGAGAAGCCCAGGAGTCCCAGATGAAAGGGATGAACCCCTTTCCCTTCCTGTCTGAAGGGCTGGAGGAAGGGAGGGAGACTCCTTAAACAAGCACCATCTAAAATGCATGAAGACTACAAGGTGGAGCCATTGTATTAGTGGGGAAGAGTGGATACTGAATGCTGCTAGCAAATGGAACAGAGCAAATCAACACTGAGAACAGTCCCAACTCCCACAAATCTCCAAACAGTGATAGGGCGGCAACAACTCCTTTCCTTTATTTCTTCCCCTTGTAAAGGGAGATTCAAGCTGAGTGTCCATTCTTTCCTGTCCCCAAGTCCCCAGCTA